TATATACATTTATAACTCTATAGATTGTCTAACGAGCAGACTGCAAGGTGTATAATCCGAGTTAGAGTGTAAAGATGCTAGTAGAATGGAATATATGATGCGTGTATTCTTGATTTAAAAAGTCTGTATCAAGATATTCATAGTAGCTACAGAATACTCTTTATATAGGTAGAGTGTAGTATAGAATACACGGCGACGCGTATATCTATCTATCTATATGCTCAGTAGTATGTTTCTTTATATGCTTCACACAACGCCCCTGCATTAAAAATATACACTACTCTGATTAATAAAGCAAAGAAATGCGATGACAAACAAGAAAATTCAATAACCAGAACACACCTTACAGCTACTTTGTTTTCACGCAAGTTGGTACGTGCGTTTTTATGTTGTCTACGCCTATTCACAATTCTTATTAATTTTTATTAATTCTTGTATATTATCTTGTTTGTAATTGTTTGCAAACAAGAGCTTGTGTATACGTGCGTACGTATACGCGTATACGTCCGTTTACGCATTATGAGAACGACTGCGGCGTTACTCACGCTCACTTATCAACACAGTTCGTTTGCCATTTCACGGTCGTCTTCTACTATTTCTCTCTTTCCTTTTGATTACATTAATAAACCATTACGTCAACCTGTTTGTACTCTAGTAACATATTGCTTAGTTTGTCAGTTATAGGCTAGTATAAAATGAAAACGAGAATAAGAAGATGGTATCGGCTTTCATTTATAAAGTCGGTTAGGGTTAAGAGTTGGAAATAAATTCTGTAGACATGTTTAAATTAACTCCATACTCTTTCTTTTTCTGCTTTTCCCCATTATTTATTATTTTTCATTCCCTCTCTCTCCCTCCCCCACTTTTTTTTTCTCTCTCTCTCTCTCTCTTTTCGTTGTCCAATAAATTTTCTAAATTAAATAATCTATTATTAGTTTTTTCTATTTCTCCTCATCAGCTCTGGGATGACTAGAATTTCAACTTTTGCTCTACTTTTATGCGCATGCATCATACGAACAACAGGTGAGTTGTCTCGCAAATATGTCTTATTAATGAGTCTGAAATTGTCGGCATTTTCGAGTCCATCAAATAGTAATAGTCTATATTATGATAGGCCTAGAAAGTGCAAATTTTATTGTCATATCGTCCGTCAAACAAAAGCTTCATTAGAGTAAGTGCTTATGTTTCCCTTGATAATCACTTCAATAATCCAATCAACATTTCATAAGCTATCAGAGAGGTGCGCTTCCTCGTTTACCGAATAAGAATAACAATAACAGTAATAAAAAAATAACATTATACAATGAGAGAAATGGAATATTAAAAAAAAAGACCAGAGGTGAATTGTATCTATAAAATCCCATCCTCCCGCTTCCCTTCTATAGTTTTTTTCTCTCTCTCATTCTACACCTCTCGACCATTCTCTCACTTTCCATCTCCCCTCGATTAGATAATTTCTAAGCGTTCCTGGAAAACACCGCGTGATGCCGTTACTGACAGTGTCCGGTAGTTACGTCAGCCTTAATTATAAGTATTACGCAAGACGATCGAACGATTGCGTAAGATTTTGCGGCAGCGGGGCGAAAACGAATGCTGATTAGTGAATAAATAACAGAGTCGTGACGCACCTGCCTTTAAATTTCTCACGAGTGGTCCCCGTTTCGATCGTCTCTTTGCTACTTATATTATTCAGTTAATATCTCTCTGCTACCTTTCTTCTCATCATTTATACTTCCATCTCCCTCTTTTAGAATTACACCTACAATATGATTTTAATTCAGTGGTTTATATCAATAATGCTCCCTTCCTCTCCCTATTTTCCCAATGATTATAATCACTTTTTCGCCCCGCTTTGCAATATATCGTTTGAATAATTTATTCTTGTTCGACGTCGAATTCGCTAATCGAAAATTGCGCACTACGATTCAACCCCACAAATCTTTCCGACTTAGCAAAAGACTCCAGATTATGCGAATCGTGACAAACTCTAGCTTTGCTTTTCTTCCTCTTCCTCTCCACAGAACCCTGTTCTTTTCATACGGCCACTATTAACGGCCATAAATGCCTAGGATTTCTTTCCTGTTCCAACATGTGTTTATTTTCGGAGCTAACTTTCTCAATTTCATTCTTTTTCTCTTCTTCATTTTGTCGGATAACCTTGCGTTCCGTAAACAAGGCCCCGCCCACGTCACTGCTACTTTCGTCTACCTTTTGCCTCGTTTCTACCCTAGCAACCAACAGATTAAATTAAAACATGTATATATGTATTTTTTCCTCGTCTCTCTCTCCATCTGCCCCCTCCCCCCCGTCTCTCTCTCTCTCTCTCTCTCTCTCTCTCCTTTCTTCATTCCACTCTTTCTCCCCCATACTCTATAACAATAGAGCAGAGACCGTCTATGAAATGCCAATAGTTACCTCCCTCTTACCCTGCTTCACCCCTTGGCTTCCGCCCATATCAGCCCTCCTTCCAGCCACGTCGAGTACCATCATCTGTAGAACGCCCCTCTGCGCTATAACTGTCCAACGAAACAGATAGGATCAGAAGCCGACGTCCGCATTAAGCGCACTTTGATTACATGTTTAGGCCTACAACTAGCTCTTAATTATTACACGCTTCCTTTTTCTCCCTCTTCCGGTTCCGGGGCACATACAGTGAGTCAAGATAGGGCATGCGAATTCCCAAACTTCCTAAGGGCAAAGAACAAAATGGGAAATGGTCGGATTTGGTACAGCGAGACGACTTATCTCACAAACAGTGTAAAATATGAAAAACAGAAGAAGATAACCGTGGGAGAAGCAACGATAAATATTGAAATGTTTGTAAGTAGGCGTTATTTCCGGGAAGCGTTGCTTCCATGTTCTCCTTTGCTTCTCTTCCTCCCTTCTCCTCGTAATTGGAGCAAGGAGACGATGACGCTCTGTCAATAAGACGACTAAGCGTCATATTAATTATGTTTAATAACCATAATGAAAAAATAATGACGAAATGTATTTTTATAGACGCCGTGCCTTACCGTCTCTGACGATTACGACTGTCACAGTCAACCCGTAACCCATGTGACCACCTGGACCTGTTTGGGACATTCTGTACTCGATAACCATTACAGGATAAAGATCGAGAACGAGAAGCAGTACGTGTTCACTCTATAGGCCTTCATTTTAAACGCATTAGTAGCTATAACAACTGACTCCGGACACCGGAAATATGGAGGTGTTAACGGAAACGGTTTAAAAATATATATTTAATCTAGTGGAAAAAAACTTCTTGACCAATGGCTATTAAATATTATGGGGTTTTTTATTTATCAAAGGGTCCCGACACACGCTAAACAGCGCTTTTTCCTTCTTAGTCTACTTTCTTTTCTATTATATTCCTTTTATATTTAAATATTAAAAAAACGTTTGATTTCATTTTTTTTGCTTTTTTTTCTTCCCTTCATATTTCAACAAACAACAGGGAAAAGGTTTTCAGCTGCGTCAAGTTCATTAAACGCAATGACAACGTCGTTCAAGTATATTCAGGTGAGTTGTATATTTTTACGAAAGAGGCGTCTGTTAGAGACAATTTCAACCCCGACCGTAGTACCCTTCGCTTCCGTATTTCCTCCCTTCAACCCATTCAACCGTTTGGCGGGTTTTTTTTTACCCGATTCGAATCAATCATCCCACTGTCCACCACCGAAATTGCGTCCTTTTCAAACTTTGGGGAATAAAGAATAAAGCTGACTATGACAATAGTAGGGACGACACTGAAGTCTAGAAGAACAACAACGACAGTAGGGGTTTGACCGGGGCACCCATAGACAATTTCCAAGAGGCAAACAGTTTGATACACAATGAACACATTTGCCCAATTTCGTCCCTTTTTTTATATTGCTCATTTAGCCGGTTCCTTTCAAATGTACCTCGGCTCAATGCTCGACACGTTTATCATTTTGTCCAACAGAAAAATATCAACCCTTAAGGGGGTAGTAAGAGGGCAAAAGGGTGAGTGGGCGGCTGTGTTGATGTGTGGTGAGAGAAAGGCGGCGGTCGATGTTTAAGAATTATGTAACAAAATTGAATGGGCGACAAGAGGTGTTTAGTTTCGGGCCGCTCATTAAATCGCCATCCGTTCTTTTCCCGTCTTTTTGTTTTTTTATTATACATTGCCTCTTTTACGTAGATGAGAGAAACTTTATATTTATTTACATCAAACAGTAGTCGATAAGGTATGCGTAAGGGTTTTCCCTTCTTTCTCTGTCTCTCTCCACGTGTCTCTTTCCCTTCGACAGATGAATATACTAACCACTTTCCTAGTTTTTGCTTCTAAAAACACAGCCAGTAAGAAACATACGCAATATACCTTACCAAATCCATAACGTGGGGATTATTATCCTATCCAGAGAGGATAACATAGCGGATTAAAAAAAAAATAGCCTCAGGTGCTCATCTTTCTCCGCACTCTCTATTCCCCTCCCTCCCTCCCCCTCTCTCTCTCTCTGCCTGTCTGCCTGTCTGTCTGTCTCTCTCTCGCTCTCGCTCTCCCTCTCTCTCCCTTTGCTTATAGTTTATAAATAATAAAAATTCTCCGGAGCGGAGCGCAACGATACCTTACAAAAGAAACAAAACGAAATTGAGATAAACATAATGTACCTTGCGGTAAAATACGATTATATTGTCATTGCATCATAGAAGCTCAATGATAACGCAATCTCATCGCACTTAAGCTCCATTAGAATATTCTCCTTTTTATTCCATTTACACGCTACATTGTCGCTTTCCGTGTCTTGGCCTGCCAGGCTATGAAAACCTATACGCTAATATGGCAACAAACACTAACCAAATTACGCTATTTTATCCCTTTTTTTACGCTATTCCTATTAGAGGAATAAGAAATTATAGGTATATATCCTATAATCCGAGTGGAGCGTCACCACTAACAGACAATACATATACATCCAGGTAGATAACCCCCTTTGCCTATCGTCTAACAGATGCTAGCCTTACAGTTTTAGTTATTGTTTTTTTTTCTTTCCTATTTTTTACTTAATCTGTTTCTCTCAATTACAGCCGTTCCGAATACAGAGAACTTCGAGAAACTCTGCAAAGAAGAGGCCCTACAGAGAAAGGACTGGCCTTGGATAAGTGAGTAGACTAATCGCTGAAATTATATTCCTATATTCTTTTCACCTTCTTTACTTACTTTTCTTTCTATCTTTCTCTTTTCTAATGAAAAAAAAATCAAAATTTCTCTTTTTCTCATCTATCTTTCTCTCGCTCTACCGCTTAAGTAACGCTTATATAGGCCTAGGGGGGTTTCGGGGACGGCTTGAGTAACCTCTTATCGCCTAGCCCAGGGCCTTCGGTCGAAGAAAATGCCGAAGCAAACAATCCCCGACGAATCGAGTGTTTATCGAGCTGCCGCTTTCGGCAAACAGACTGAGTAAGAGAGAGAGGGAGAGAGAGAGAGAGAGAGAGAGAGAGAAAATAAGCGAGCTAGCGAACGAACAAACGAGCGAACGATTGAGTGAATGAGTAGAGGAAGAGAAGAGAGAGGAAAAAGTGTCACTCTTCCGCTTGGCTTCTTTAGCGCAAACTTGAGCGTAATTTACCTAATAATTGATTATTAGCTGTTTATTAAAAGACCTATTTTTATGTCGGAGAAGGTTAAAAGAAATTGCAGCCAAGTGATTAACAAGCGTCAAAAATTCTAAATAAGCAAAGGCTAAATGAATAAAGTAGCGTGTCTTTTAACGCGAAGAACAAGCTATGTGTAGAGAAATTACCAATTCCAATGTAGCGTATATTAAGTGGAAGAGTGAGCAAGATTAAACAACTCTAGATTGTAGTAATATTTCTCTTTCTCTTCTTTCTTCCATTATATTGTATATTCAATCAATGTCTCGTGTAAATAACGTATAAATTGAAAGAGAATTAACCTTATCTTTATTCAAAAAGAGAACTCCTCCTTTCTCTCTCTCGGAAAAATTGTTTTCTATTTTTTCTTTATTTAACATTAGCAGCTGTAAGAAATTACTTGCCAAAATAATAATACATAACTCCCACACGAAAACTACTCATCTTCTTATTTCTTCTCCATCTTTCTCTCTTTTTAGCTTTCTTCCTTTCTTCCTTCATCCATCTTTCTCTTATTCATTTGTTCTTTTTACGTGTGTATATATATACATGTATAGACTTTCTTCTTTTTCTTCCTCGTGATAAACTGACCCAATCTGATGTAGTCTAGTTATTTATTTCTTTTCTTCTTTTCTCGTTTCTTCTCTCTCTTTTCCTATATAATTAAATAAAAAAAATACTCTCTTCTTTTTATAGGTAAGGATAAAGATAGCTGGTCTGAATGTCCCCTATTGGGAGGCTTCGATTTCCGTAGTCATTGGATAAGTAAAAAGTTGCATCATCAAGAGGTAAGTAACTAAAGAAATGATGACAGAGTTGACGCGTAAATTACATGGGATTTCTTAACTGCTCACCGATTTTCGATATTTTCCCCCCTGTTATTCATTTTTCTCTCTCTACTATTTTCTCTTTCTCCATTTCCTCTCCCCAACTCTCGCCCCCCTCCTATGAACGCCATCTCACCCATCTCAAAACGCTGTGACAATAATGGTGACGAAGACGCCGCCATTAACAGTGCCATACCACCACCCAATCTCTACTTTTGAGCTGCCTCCTGCTGAAGAGAAGACAAGTTGAGATAAAAATGCCGGCGTCTAATGCATGCGAAATGAACTAACGGCGTTAGCGTGGTGGTACTCGCACGATTGTATACAGTTTGATTGATGACGCCGTATTGTGGGGTAACCCTGTCATTTGACCTTTTTCTTTTGATTCTTAGTAGAACGATGTAGTGGGCGGGGGCGGGGGGAGAGGGGGAGTAATAGAGGCCGTCAATAAATTCTAAACCTTACCCCAATCTACAACGACCCATTATAAAACTATAATAAAAAGCAATATTTTTTTCCTGCCGTTTACTTTTCCCTGAAATATTTCTTACTCTTTGAAAGAGGAAATAAATTTCTATTCGTCCTTTAGCTATGTCGAAAAGTATGGAGACCTTCAAGGCTGGAAAGCGAATGCGTGATGGGGGAAGGAATGATCTTCCACTTTCCACAGAACACGTGTAATCCTTTCGCAAAAAGGGGAAAACGTGAGTCTTGATTTGATAAATTTTTAAACGGTCTTATCTGATTTTTCTATAAAGAAATTAGACGCTCGTTCCTCACACACTCCTCTTTCTCTTTCTAATTCTTTGTTGTTATTTCAGATCATCGTCTCTACTGCTGGGCTCATTGGTCAGAAAGCGGCTACATTTTCATAGTTCTCGGCCAACATCACAAGCATCTACCGCAATACGTCATGGTAAATTTCGCACAGCATTAATTAGGCCTAATTACTGCGTTGCCTTATATTCGAGATGGACTTTAACTCCTTATAGAATTCCAATGCTTTCTTAATATTCTACACTCGAAATCGACTAGACTCTAGGCTAATTAGGCATAAATGCTATGTTTACTTTCAATTAAGAGTCCTACCCGAAACAGAGACTGCCGACGAATACGGAAATGATGTCAACGTTCAAAGCTAAACTCTACTTTAGCCCAGTAGCCCTTCTCGATTCTGTCGGGCAACCACCCGATAAAGTAACAGCTATTCAATTAGAGATGGCCAGAAGTGGTAAGTGCCTTCCTCCTTTCTTCTAAATGAAATCTATGAACAAATATAACGAGCGCCATCTATTGGAAAAAAGAGGGAAAGGGACTTTGGATTTTTTAGGAAGATTAAAGGAGCATATATAGAGAATAGTTAGGTAACGAGAGAAAGGAAAAAAATCCAAGTTCGACCTGCATTGGAGTAATATTGATAATCTTGTAGAAAGTAGAGACAGAGTAAAGAGAAATAGATTGCTTGAAAGAATTATTTAATAATATCATAAAGGGGGCGGGGGGTGGGTGCGAGGGAAGGGGTTTAGTAAAAGAAAACGAAGAGTTCATAAGAATAGCGATAGGGAAAGGAATAAATAGATATGGACATAGAGATAGAGAGATAGAATAGACAGCGAGAGAGAGAGAGAGAGAGAGAGAGAGACAGAGAGAGAAAGAGAGAGAAAGAGAGATAGATAGAAAAACTATCAAAGAAATATGAAAAAATAATAACAATAATAAACTAAACAGGATTAATAGGATTAATTTATAAAAGAAATAACAAAATATTGCAGAAGTGGGAAATTGTTACGATGAAGATCCAATAGGATGCAAGAAGTTTGCAGCTGAAGGAAAGTGTTTTTCAACAGAAGGCAATTACAAGATTTATTGTCAAAAGTCTTGTAATCTTTGTAGTGAGTATAATTATTTGATTTATTGAAGAAATGAGAAAATGCGTATAGGCGTAAAGGAGGTAAATTGAAAAAATACACGTTAATTATCATCTCAGCTCCTCGCGGCATGCCCCAAGGCGAATGTGCATTTTCGGATAAAATAACAAAGTCTTTGCATTGGTACCTGTTCGAGAATACATGGGAGGATTTAATTACATTTAAAAGTGCTGGTGATGACAGACTCGGCCGGTTAACCCAATTAAACTCTAGAAAACTTGGTACATTTACTTGTAAAAGTGTTGACAAACAATACAACAGCTACGAATACGCTACCGTCTCCTATTATAACAACGGATGGTTTGTCTAATACTTAACGCCTTTAACGTCCTTTTTCCTAATCTATTTTTATAGCCGGCCCAGATATACTTGCATTAACTTTGAAACGACTGACGATATCAGCCTAATCAAGTTTCGAATGTGTAAGTAAAACCTCCTTGGGGAAGAGTGCAAACGATAGGGGGAGGGGAGGGGAGGGGAGGGGAGGGAGACATGGGTGGAAAGAACTAAAGGAAGAGGGTAAACAACGAGGCAGTAAGAAAGAGTATCTTTCCAATTCTATTGTCATAAGAAAACTCTTCCCCTTTTCGTTTGTTCTATTAGTTTTAAAAAACTTTACACCATTTATCTTCGTAGCCGAGAGTTCCTTGCTTAACTTGGAAATTCAAAAATTATGCAAATATAGAGATTATCCACGTGTTTTAAGGAATAACGTCGTTTCAAAAGAATACAAGATTCTTCTATGTGAGTGTTATTTCTATTTTAATGATTTAAAGCTTTTTCTTCCCGTCGTCTTACTCTTTCTCCTTTCGTCCGCACCGAGATGAAGGGAAAGAGGAAAGGGGAGATGGGGGAGGAAGAAAAACAACACGCCGGCTGTCTGTATAATTTGCTAATTATATAGCCGCTAACTATACAACATCGATGGACTGCGGAATACACGGAAGTATGGAGGCTACGTTTTCTGACAAGAACAATCTCCAGTGCGAAGGACACGTCTCCGATTGGAATAAGGCGTCGTGTACAGTTCAACCTTCTCTTACGGTTTCGTACAGGCGGTCGAGATGCGAGATGAGTACCGCTCCTCATAACGATTCATTACAATTTACAGGTAATTAGAGTTAATTATATTTTCCATTTGACCTCAAATAGATATGTAAGTAACGTCACTCGGGACGAGACGCCTGTCAAAAGTTTTATTCTCTCTAGACGCTCACGCAAACAATGATAAATTAATCATTAATTAAATTAATTACTTAATTAATAGATTCATTAATTCAGTAATTGGCTTTTCATTTCAGTTCACCTATGTAGAGCCTTTATATACGTGAAAGCATACGGACATAGTATACTCATAACACAAACGCCGTCAGATTCTCAATTGTACAGATGTTGGGTAAGAGAGTCGATCATTGCGGTTCATTCTTATCATTTCTTTATTTGCAGATAATATTCAATTATCCAGAGAGAATGAACGAAAAACCGTGGAGAAACGCCGTACTTTTAAATAGAGGCCAATGCGGTAAAGCAACAGATTTTAGACAATTAGAAAAGAAAGACGTCATATTTGAGACCCGAATGTCGTCTGGTAAGTATCTCTTGAAAGATTATTAATAAATATATCATTTTATCTTCTCTTCCCCTTCCTAAAAGCTATATATTATAGTCTTTATTCAATTATTATTGAATTTGACCTATTGCCACTAAGATTATAGTAGTGGTTATCATTCGACTCGTAGGGTTATATTTTTCTTTTCTTGTTTATTTACTTTATTATATAGCCTCCTTTCAACCATTTGCAGACAATGTAGATACAACCTGTAGGACGAAAAATCGCAACCGCTATGGAAAACCTACTTATGGTCCCAATTTTATACCAAGAAAGTCGGATAATAGCCCAACAAATAACCGCCAAGCGAGAAACGGCGAACATGATCGATCTTCTTATAGTATCAGAGGATCGTCAACAACTCCATCTATTTGTTTTCATCACTTGATTATTGGCTCCATCTTGTGTTATTTAGTAAAATTTTAGCGTTTTTTTATATTAGCAATTCTTTGCTCTCTCGCTCTCTCTCTCTCTCTCTCTGTCTACTTTTTGTACTTTTACGAATGATAAGTGAAACATGTATACGTTAATGGGTGTATACAAAACCTAATGCTATCAATATACACAAACTATCCTGACAGATGTATACAATTGCGTTCTCTGTCTCTCTAGTTCTGTTTTTTGCCTATGAATATCTACCCCCAATAAACTGTATATAGAGGGTATTTACTGGTTATAATGGTCTAAAGATATGAAAATGCATTATACTATTCTATATACAGTAGATAATAAAATATTATAAAAATTGTTTCTTTGCTTGTGTTCTCTCTTTCTGGTCACTTTTCTTCGTCTATCCTCTTTCGATAACGTTATTTTTGTACTCTGTCTGCTTATAATATTCATATATCCTATATCCATCTATCAATCTATCTATATTTAAAATGTCGCTTGCTTTTTATCACAGAGATTGGAAATTGAATTTCTAATCCTTTGCCTCATATGACTTTTGCTAGACTTCGTCCTATTACGATTTAGGGTGTCTTTCTTTTTACTTTGCCTAGTTTATTTCAGATGTTGGCTGAGTTTTATCTTTTTTAAGTTTAGTATAAACACTTTGTTTGTCATTCCTAGTTCAGTTGTTCTTCTCCTGTCTGTGAAATTTTAATGAAAGGAAGAAGAAGAAGAAGAAGAAGAAGGAAATAAATTAGAAATTTGCTAACTTTGAAATGTTTCTAAGAAAAATGAAAAAATGAAAAAAAGGTGCTAACTAAACAAATTTTATGTTTTAAATATGACAAATGGAATTATACAGAGAAATAAGCATGCTGGTTTATAAATATCTATCTATATATGTATGCATAGAAATCTATTATATAATGAATTATTGTTTATTTACTGAAATAAATTGCGTATGAACACGGGAAAGAAGGGAAAATTAGACAAAACAAAATTCGGTTCATTACGTAATAATAGACATGATCTTAACATATAAAAGGTATATTGCGTATATTGTATATATATATATTTATTTCTCGTAATGAATGACTAACGAAGGAGAAGATGAAATGTTCTAAAAAGGGAATCGAGCGAGAAGAGTTTCTTTCCACCATCTTTTTTTTTTAATACTGTTTCCTCTTTGAATAAAAATTTAAATATTGATAATTGACGTCTAGTCTAATTTAATTATTATTATTTCTAGTCACGCAATGACAAGATGAACGTTCAACCTATTTGTTAATGCTTAATTAAAGGTAATTTCCGTTAGGGTTGCCCGTATTTTGACCATGGAAAAACCATTGCTGTACTTGGCTACGCCCTCGCAAAAAATTGCAGTCGACGACGGCAAAGAGCTTCATTACTACGCCATCGCTTGTAGAGAATACAGCTATGTGATCGACCGCTAATACATTCTATTTCGTTGCGTCCACACAAAAATATTTCGTGTTCTTGAGGTTCAACTCTAAAATATCATGGTGAGGATTAATAGCTTATTAGGTGTATTTAAAAAAAAAAAAGAGACTAGCTGTCCATGTGTGCCAATGAGCATTTGACGCCGCATTCGTTCTATTTAGACGTGCATGTTTTTTATACGTATAAATAATCACTAGCCGTGTCTGTCTCTTTTAAATCTCTAAGTCCCTGTATTTTTTGTGTGCGTGTGTATGTTTCGTTTTGGTGTTTTAAACAGGCAAATCGTCTATTTCTTTGTAAATTTAAATCAAGGACGATTAAGGTGCAAAAGAAAAGCTCTCATTCCATTGTATCTTGTCCCTCCCTCTCTCCTATGCTTTGTACATTGTAATGCATACTTAATATACACGAAGATGTCAACGTGGTGTTTGCATTTTTTTCCCTCCCTACTTTAATTTATGAGAAAAGGAAATGAAATTTATATTTTCCCTCTTTTCCTCTATCTATCTCTCCCTCCCTTCTTCCCTTCCTTCCTTTCTCTTTCCTTCTCCTTTGCTCTTATATATTTTCATCTATTTCGCTGACATTTTTTGTGCATATATGCAGTAGATTAAAAACACGAGAGCTAAATATGGACTGCACTTGGCCTAAACCCTTTTCATCTGGATATGTATGCATTCATTTCTATATATATGTACAGCATATATATATACATTTTATACATACATGCAAATAAGCGTACATACCTATATTTTTTAGTTTATTACCAGTTTTCATTCTAAGAGTCATTTTCTTATTCGTAGTTGAATGGTTAGTTAAAATATTATGTAAAGTAGAACATTTAAATGCATTAGAATCGTAGTTAGATGTATAATTTATGTCGTTATCCGGTCTTATTAAATATCAGTTTCACGTATATCCTTCCCTGTTTCGTTTTTTAGTAAAATTTACATTTACGCATGTTGTTTATCGTCTTTACTGCATAACAGAGAGGAAGAGAGAGAGAGAGAGAGAGAGAGAGAGATGATGATGATGATGATGGGAAGAAATAAATGTAGGAGAGAGTTTGTAACGCTCACAAAATATATAATCCTTTACCGTCTTCCTACTCTGTCTATCTGTCTGTCTAACTGTCTTTTTTTTCCTTTTCTCCTTCTTCCTCTCTTCACCCACCCACCCCACCCACTCCCCACCTTCTCTACTTCTTGATAAGCCGATCTCTCTTTCTCCTATTTCTAGTCTGTTTTTTATTTTCTACAAATCCAATTTGTCCACCCAAAAAAGAAAAAAAAACAGGCCAGGTTCCTTTTCTACCCTGGTCCGTACGCAAACAAGGTCAAATGCTTTCGACGCCGCTCTCTAGCCAAAATCTATTTTGACATAACGTATTACAAAAGTTTTTACGATATTGCCTACCCAACCTATACATTCTTTTGTCGAGGAATGCCACAAGGAAGCCAAGGTAGCTCTATAAAGTTCCGTTTATTTTGACCTTTTAAGGGCAAGCCGCACCCTAAAGAAACTCAATTATATACATATTTGGGATAAAAGAGCAAGAGTAGGGAATTTCTTCAGGGGCAGATTGTCAATTAATCTATGCTTCTCTAAAAGAGGAAAAATATCATTCTATTGAAAATAAATAAGGAAATAAGAAAAGCTAAAGCAGCCGTCAAAAAACAAATCAGCAATAAAACTTATATTCTTCTCCTTCTTCTTTGCCCCCACTCTCTATGCTAAAAGGAATAAGGAAAAAAAACCAATCGTTACAGTTTCTTTCACTTTTTCTCTAGTCCTACCAATTTCCTCTCTGCAGCAAACTGTGCAATGCGAGAAATTCGTATCGAATGATGTTGTCACGCAGAAATTCTTTCGAAAGGGTCGTACAAGAGTGTTTTTAGGGAAGAGAGCGAATGTGAAAGAGTAAGAGGATGAAAGAGAGGGAAGAAGGAAGAGAAGTGGGAACGAACAAGAGAGAAAGAAGTAGAATGTAAGAAATTCTTTTGAATGATTGAATGAGCGAAGGAAAGAAGATGAAAAAAAGCCGTCTCTCTCTCTCTCTCTCTCTCTCTCTCTCTTGCAGTAATCTCTTAAAGCCGGGCGTTTTTTTTTCTTTTTCATTTTTTATTTTTTATTATAAAATAGTTAATTCTAAACCTATAATCCTAACGCAGTCATCCAATTAGGCGTCATAGGTATATTTGAAGCATTATAGAGAGGGCGAGAGAATGTTTTCTTCGTAAATGGAATGCACGTGATGTCGGTTGATTAAAAAATTTTCTTTGTTTTTCATTTTTGCAGTAGGATATTACTTTAATAAAATAAACTCTTTCTATCTTCATTCATTGTATGGTTTCTGTTTCAGAGCGCTCCGGAGGTCGGAAAAGAGGAGGTCAAACAAATTTGGAAAGGCAAAACACTCCTTTTCCAATCGTTTAGACTGTCTGACGGATTCTGGCAGCATTAAAAGTAAAAAAAATAGGATGAGAGGATCGAGTAAAAGTTCCGGACGTCCCATACCCATTCCTTTAGAACCTCTTAAAGAAGGCCATAGAATTGATCCGCTGGAAAGACTATTTCTTGAGGCAGCTGAAAGGGGAGATAAACATACAGTTATAAGATGTCTGCACGGTCCAAGGCCTGTCAACGTTAATTGTACAAATATTCTCGGCAGAAGCGCCATTCAAATAGCGGTTGATAACGAGAATGTGGAATTAGTCGAACTACTACTCAAGCAGGACGGTGTTCGAATAGGGGATGCCCTCCTTTACGCTATCCGCGAAGGCGTCTACAGAATCGTCGAGATGCTAATCGATCATCCGTCCATAACTAGGGACATGTTGGGTAACGCTTGGGCTGGTTATAAATTGGAAGAAAACTCTGGAATCGAAAGTTCTGATTATTCGCCGGATATCTCACCAATAATGCTTGCTGCCCATTGCAATCAGTTTGAAATTTTGCAGCTGTTAATCTCCAGAGGTGCCCGAATAGAAAAACCCCATAGGCTTACTTGTTCATGTACAAGATGTAAGGAGGAGGTGCAGTCCGACTCTCTGAGATACTCCTTATTACGGATCAATACATACAAGGCCCTCGCCAGTCCGGCATGGATTTCCCTAACGAGTCCTGATCCAGTTTTATCTGCTTTTAAACTTTCTTGGGATCTGGAAAAATTGGCTATGAGAGAGAATGAATTCAAGGATATCCTTAATGAACTGAGTGAACAGTGTAAAAAATATGCTTGCGACCTCCTCGATCAGTGCAGATCTAGCGAGGAGGTTATTGCGGTCCTAAATAAATCATCCGATAGCGACAACGAAGGCGATGATTCGGACGAAGAGGTCGATTGCGAGAGGCTGACTCTTGACAGGCTGAAAGAGGCCCTCAAGTACGAACAAAAGCAGGTTAGAGGCATATCGTTACTATCCGCTTCAGTGCCGTCATATATACAGGGTATATGGATTATAACGGGCTCCAGAGATAAATTGCTCTAGATGGTATTGAAAAAGATCAATTTATACTCTCATTTCCTTCCCCATGACGCATCTTTTCCCGTTATTTATAGTTAAATACTAGAAAACATCATACACCAATGTTACGCCTTCCTTGCGTCCTCTCGTTTAACATTTGCGGTCGCTAGTACTGCCCAATACGTGCCAGTTAGGTCTAACCAGTCTAGTTGGTGGTCGATCAGTGGACTAGTTAAGAAAGAAAGAAAGAGAGAGAGAGAGATCGATACGAGTTGACCAGAAAAAAGTCCTCAAAGAAAAAGCAATGCGTCTAATTTAACAACTGTATTTTTCATTTAACTAGAGATGTAGTGGGTGAGGTGGGAGAGTGTTGAGTAGAAGAGTGGATGGAGAAGAAAAAAAATTACTTGGGCATGGTAGTAGGAATTACTGAGAGGATGTCGTTAATACAGGGAAAGCATGGTACTGTCGTACTATAATACGAGCTGAAAGATTCTAATAGAAAGGATCACGAGGGTGAGGAAAAAAGGGAAAAATTTCTTGCCAAATATATATGTAGACATATATATAGTAGTATATATTGTAATATATTAGTAATAAAATTAGGCAGAGAGAGAGAGAGAGAGTGAGTGGGAGGGGCAGAGAAAGAAAGAAAGAGTAAGGGGTAATGGTCGTAGGATAAAGAATTTAACCAAGAATTTTTACCTTTTGTTTACAGTTTGTCGCCCATCCTCATTGCCAACAATTACTCGCTTCAATATGGTACGAAGGTTTACCAGGATGGAGGAAAAGCAATTTCTTTGTTAGAACAGTCATAATCGTCATACTTATCGCTCTTATGCCTTTAATGGCCGTCTACTATCTCATTTTCCCAAGATCCCGATTGGGTCAGTTAATTAGGAGTCCATTTATGAAATTTATGTATCATTCGGCGTCATTCGGAGTATTTCTATTCCTGTTGATATTGGCCTCGATAAATATGGGTTCTCGGGAACAAACTCAAATACAGAGGAAACAACGGCGAGGTCCTGCCTTGAGTCCTCTCGAATGGCTAGTCTTCCTCTATGTAATAGGTAAACGATAATTTCCTCTACTTGAAGGAATAAATTACAACTCTATTAGATAATTGGTATTCATTACTAATTGATCTTATATCGATTAGCCTCGCTTATCATCAGAGAATATCTTGAACATTTCAGGCCTATTTAGGAAAGTCTCTAATGCTCTCTAATCTAATAAAGAGAAAACGAGACAGAGACAAACGAAGAAATAGATAGGAGGAAATAAATGGGAGAGAAGAAATCTAGTTTAGTTCTTTTATTTGAATTGTATGTATAGTATACTGCTGTATATTATGCTTTGAGAGTATAGGACTTGAAGGGATATTTTTTATTACTGATAATGATTTTAGCATAATACGGGAGGGGGATATACTTTAATCGTATCATGTACTTTAGACGATTAAAACAAAACAAGAAGAGAGAGAGAGAGAGAGAGAGGCGGAGGGGAGGGTGAGAGGGGAAAGGGAAAAAGAGAATGAACGAATATGTGAATGAATGATACAGAACAGAATTATTCTTTCTACCCAACAGGCTTCATATGGAGTGAATGCAAACAGCTGTGGGATGAGGGCTTAAAGGCTTACATCCGCCAATGGTGGAATTGGCTAGACTTTATTATGCTTTCTTTATATTTGTGCACGTTTACTCTTCGATTTGTCGCTTTTATACATTCTTTGGACGAAGAACAGTATGGACCAAAAATGTTACCAAGGACCAAGTGGCCGAGTAACGATCCAACTCTTGTCTCTGAAGGAGTTTTCGCGATAGCCAACGTCTTCTCCTTTGCTCGAATTATTTATTTATTCCAAGCTAATCCAACGCTCGGTCCGCTCCAGATTTCTCTTGGTTGCATGCTAATTGATATTGGAAAGTTTCTATTTATATTCTTTCTCGTTTTAACATCATTCGCCTGCGGCCTCAACCAATTGTACTACTATTACACGGATTCTGATAAAACTCAAGGCGCCGTTATTGTCGATAACGGAAAGGAATACGAGAACGCTTTTGATCCGTAAGTACATTTAAACTTTATACAACAACTGTGCGCTACTCTTCTCCCCCTCCCTTCATCCTCCGTCTTCCCCAGGCTTTGTCGCGCTCCCCTTTCTTCGTCTAACAACCATTTTATTATTCCCTTAATTCCTTCCGACCTTTTCTCCCCTGTCCCTCCCACCTCTCCTCCCGCCTCCTCTTCCTACTTGCCTGTACTTTTGCCGTATAATACGGATACTGGTACTGTTACTACAATCACCACAACGGCTACTGCTACTACTACTACTATTACTACTACTTTTACTATTACTATTACTATTATTACTATTATTGAGTTTATAGTTTTATTAGCTACTGTAGCGATTACTATTACAAAATTCTACTATCCTAAAGATGAAAATTAAAGGAAGCAAATCACAATAGCAGCTTGTGCTACTTTTTTAGTTTTAGTAGTAGAAGTAGTATTTAATTATTCCCTATCTATTTTTCTTTCCTTCTTTCTCTTTCTTTATCAATCTCTATCTATCTATCTATCTGTCTATCTATCCAGCTCTTCTATTCCATTCTTTAACTTTTAAATATTTCTACTTTTACTTCTGACGAATCCTTTAGCTTATTTGCTTCTCTTTTTCTCTAATTTTCTACCCTTTCGTTTGATCCTCAATCCCTTCCTCCCCCCTCTCTCTCTCTCTCTCTCTCTCTCTCTACTTCATTCTACATCCTATTACTCTCTCCCCCCCGTTCTTAATCGTCGTATAGCTTGTCACTTTGTACCCAACCTTCCTAAGCTTCACTGCGAATTTTCCTCGTTGCCCTCCCTCCGCAATCGGTAATATTGTATAAAGTATATACAATATGAGAGAAAGTGTGTAAACACTAGACAGTAGCATTGCCTATAGGAAGATAGGGAAGAGAGGGAAGAGAAGAAATTTTCTAAAAGCGACTATATAATAGATTAGTAAGTTTATAAATTTATGGAGGAAAGTTCTATTGGTGCTAATGAACAATCATAGAAGTCTATAGATCTGACATGGTAACTAGTTGATATATACTGTATATTGTATATACTTCGCAATGCCTACCTCCCCCTACCCCCTTCCCCCTCCGCCCATCCCCTCCCAAAAAAAAACAATATAACATATACATAAATACGTATTTATTACGTAAAACTTGATTCTCTTCTTACTTGCTAATTCTTATCATGACGATAAGTAAGATTCTTATTATTTTTCATCGAAATCTTCATCTTTTTTATAAATTAAAAAAAAAAGAAAAGAAAGAAAAAAAAAACGATAATAGTAAAAATGATAATAAAAAAGAAAACCTTATTGATTTTTCTTTATTTTGCATATATATTTAGTTTTTTTTTCTTCTTCTTCTTTGTTTGTTTTTTTCTTTCTTTTCCTTTTTTTTACTTTCTTTATCTTATCTTATCTTTTTGTTTTTTTTAACTTAATCCAAAATTATTAATAAGGAATATAAAAACCTCTTTTTCATATTTTTCCTCTCCTTTTTACCTTTATTTTTTCTATTTTATTGATTTAATTGTCTGATTTTATTTCTTTCTTCTTTTCCTTCTCTTTTTCCGTATCTATTTAACAGACCATCTTCCAATCTTTCTTTCAATCTTCCACTGTACAGTATATCTATGTGGATCTGTTTATCTGTACGTATGTTTGTTTGTATGTGAACGGAGGGGTTATGCATTATTGCTAAGCCAAATTGACCAGAATCTTGCGCATTACGTTGTCGTATTAATCAGTTAACTTTGGAAAAGTATAAATCTTTCGTATTCCGTCTCTAGAGAAGCAATTTACGTCGTTTATTCAATTTCCGTTTGCCAAACACGACTGAGAATTTTTCGTACAGCGTCTCTCCAGGCATTAATTTAACACGATTCTTTAAAATAAATCGTTGACTGACAGTTTTTCACCAATTTCCCAAAGCTTGCCTCAAAGCTATATAACTCTATTCTGGGGATTGTTCGGCCTGACATCCCTGAACACTGTCCGTCAAGGTCCGATGCAGGATTTTACAAAGACCATTGGGGAAGTTCTTTTAATGGCTTACCACGCACTCGGCGTTATAATGCTTATAAACATGTTAATTGCTATGATGTCAAATTCATTTCAAGATATAGTGGTACGGTTTCATTTTTTATTTTATTCTTTTGTTGTAGAAGCAACTTTTTTTCACTTTGATTTTTTTTTTCATTCTCTTTCTCTTTCTTTCGTTTTTTCTTTCTTTCTTTTTTACAATTTGTTTTTTTTTCTGCTTTTCACTTGATCATTTTTCAACTGCAAAACTATTTCTATGTTTTATAACTAGAACTATATGCATCTACTTATACGAATGTGTGTTATGGATACTGTATAACTTACTAATTAACTAGACAATTAATGTTTAATTGTTCATGCGGGGGCATATGTAAGCACTCTCTATCTTCGATTAAAATTGAGTAAGGTTCTCTTATTCAACCACAATTCTTCTATTCCTTCTCTTCATTAATCCTTATTTGCAATTGACTATATACTGTAAGACGTTCAGTCATATTCTGTACATTGAATTTTTTCTTCTACCTTCCTCCTATCCATATCTAATCTCGTAAATTCCCCAAATACCTTTAGATGTTTGGAGACGTATTTCAGAATTCGTTATCGGTCTTCTTTCTTCTCCTTTTTCTTCGCTGTTTGCTCTATTTTGCACATAAATATAAAAGCACACCTGAAGTAGAGTGTGTATTGTTTCACAAAACTATTCAGATAAGTGTACTAGAGTTGTTGGCCTATACATAGTTTATTTCTCATTTAAGAAATTTAATATATTTCTACCTCTATTTCAATATCATCATTACGAATACTGCTGTTTTTCTCTTCCTCTTCTTCTTCTTCTTCTGACTAAACCAACCTCTTTACTCTCTTTCACTTACTTACATTTGATTTTATTTATTTATTCTTTTATTTATTTGATCACTGTCTTTATTATATTTCTATCTTATTTTTGCACCTCCGTCCTCCCACGTGACCTTCCTTAACTTTGTGAGAATTGGTCCCTTTTTTTTGTGTTTTCTTCTTTGATACGCGAGAGAAAAATTGTAATATTGTTTGCAGTCTATTACAAAGTTACATCACTCTATTCTGGGCCTTGTTTGGTCTGACACCTTTATCAACGGTTAGGGAGAGTTCAGTGCACGAATTGACGAAATCAGTGGCGGAAGCTTTATTTATGGCTTATCACGCCATGGCAATTATTGTTCTCGTAAACATGTTGATTGCCATGATGTCTAATTCTTTTCAAGATATTCAGGTATATAGGATTATCTCCAATAATCTTATTATTATCAATGCATATTTTACCTTATTCCCTTTTTTATCATATATTGCTTAGTATTTATTTACTTTGCTCCCCTTAGTTTTCTTACCTACTTGATTTTTTTCTGTTAAATCCATTAGAAAGGTTCGAAAATCCAATTAGCTTATTCCCTTACAATTATATGCTCCTTCCTCTCCTTCTCTCTCTCTCTCTCTCTCTCTCTCTCTCTCTCAGTTCTTTTCTCTTCCCTTTTATTTTTATCCTATAGAATACAGCAATTCGTTGTACGTAGACAATATAGATGATTTTCAGTGCGTTTTATTTTACTTTGTAATCAAACTGTTTTCTATTGTTGATTAAACGTTTAATATAGACGCCCATTTCGAGATATGTGCCATAATGCTAAAGAATTAACTTTTTGTTATAATCACAATTCCGCTTGTACGACTTTGTGTGTGCGTGAGCGAGAGAGAGAGAGAGAGAGAGACAGACAGATAGAAAGTGAGTGAGAGAAAGAAAGAAGGAAAGAAAGAGTGAAAAAGAAAAAGAGTTAGCGAATGATTGACTGAGAGAAAGACAAAGAATACTTGTATACTCTTTTCTTGTAGAAAGATTGCTAAAACACTCTTATATGCATTAGATAAATGGTTAGTAGTGCGAATGCTAATATGCATGATCCGCATGATTTTCTTTTCTCTTCAAAATTCAAATGAAAGAATGTATAGAAAGAGAAGAATATAAAGCGACAAAAACGACAAAATTACATAGAAATACTTTATATTTTTTATGTAATGTATTAAATGGAATGATATTATTTCTCTTCCATCTTTCTATCTTTCTTTCTTTCTTTCAATTGCATTTATCTTTGAATTATTAATTAAAAGTAAATGAAAACATATATGTATTGTAGCTTTTTACATTATTATTTGATAATCAGGATCACGCGGATCGGGAATGGAAGTTTGCAAGATCTAAATTATGGATGGGATACTTTGATGAAGGGTCAACATTACCGACGCCTTTCAATCTAATTATTAGTCCCAAATCTATATATTACTTCTTAAAAAGAGTCAGGAGGCTAGTACAAAGCTGTCTTGTCAGTAAAACAGACAAACCGAGGAGAAAATCGAATGAAATGCATAATAAGGTAATTTTTGTATACTATTTATTTGTAATTGTTCAATTTATCGCTTTCTCCTCCTTCCTTCCTTCTCTCTCTCTCTCTCTCTCTATCATTTCCTTAAATAAAATAATAATAATAATAATAATAAAGTTTTAAATAAAGTTTAGAATAGTAAAATTCTTTCATTTAGAAGGAAAACACACAAAAAAATCCTACTATTTTCTTTCACAGACTTACTGCACTTTACACGATTACGTAAGTTCATTTTCATTCATAAGATTAAAGGAATAGTTGACAATCATCATTTCTCTCCTTAGTTTATATAAATTTTTTACCTCTATTCTTTTATTCTTCTAGGATCCTTTCTTGTTATTTGTTTCATTAATGAGATGTAATAAGCTTACTTTTATAACTTGGATTTTATATTATCATAATCGTTATTTTTCATCTGAAATAATGCTATTATTCATGTTTTAGAGTTTTAAACGTTTATCTTAGACAGATAGAAATAACTTTGAGTTTTTATTAGATTTAGTTACTTTTTTTAACGCTTTTCCCCTCTTTCTTTCTCTCTCTCTCTCTCCTCATTCTTTTTTACCATAAGATTTTCCCCTGTTCTTTTTAACCTTCAGAACCAGCATGGAATTTCTACCATTTCCAATCATGTTCAAGCTTTAGATAATCCTGCTATGACGCCATCTAGCGCCAGTGATTTTGAGGTACATTGAATTGTGTTGTTTGGAGTAAGAGCACTATGAAGTGTAGCAGTGTATACAAACAGAGTAATAGGGAAAGTATGTCAAAAAAAAAACCCGAATTAATGGGCGAAGAAACAGAGGACAGCGAAGCGGGAGTGCTGATAAGTAGGAGCGGAAATAGTTGAGGATGAGAAGGAAGACGACTAGCAAAATCGACAAAAATCAAAAGAGAAATATAAATACATAGCGGACGATGTTGCAGTTATTCAATTACTTTCTCCTCCAGTTTTTTTTCCTTAAATAATAGAGATAAAACAAGGGAAAATAGTTCTTTTTGCAGTGTTGTTGTCCGTTTAAATATGAATGAAATTTAGTTTATGTTTTTCTTTTTTGCATGATAAAGTAATTGTACTCTTCTTGTTTTCTCCCAGAGAAAGAGTCATTTCTTTCTCTTCTTTTTCCTTTGCATGTTAAACAAGAAACGCAAAAAAAAAAAAAAACAAAACAAGTCCATCATACAAATCGAAAAGAAAAATATTAACTTTCTTCATAATTACTATTCTATTCAGAGGTCTAACAGTTTCCATTCTCAACCCGATGGTGACGCTTCTATCAACAGGAGTAATAGGCCTAAGTATCAAGTATGTTTTTTTTTCTTCCCAATTATGATAAAATATGGAAAAAAAAGAGAATTAGAGTTTGAGAGTGTTAAAACGAAAGATAAGCATTGTTTATCTGCCATTTTCCAGTCGTCCATCCTACCTACTATTCTATCTATAAATTCCGTATAGAAAAGTATCAAACACTCGACCGGAAGAACGTAAATAGTTCTTGAAATATATATATGAAAATTACGATTGAAAACCTTTCAACTCTTTCCACTCCTTTCTCTCCTCTCCACAATTCTCTCTCTTCCATTTTCCATTATCCCTTCTCACAACATCGTTTTAAAGATCTTATATGAAAAAGAAAAAAAAAAGCCTACGAAGATAATATTGCAGATGATGATAAAAAAGAGAGGATAGGAAGAGTGAAAGATAGTTTAGTTTAATTATTTAATGGGAGGATTTTGTAGACAAAATGCCAATTGGTAATAAATAAATTATTGGAAATTCTATCCTATATCTCTTTCACTTTTTCACTCAAACTCTTTTTGCCTATCTATAAAATACAGTACATCTCTCTTTTCGTTCTCACCTGTTTGTAATATAATCAGAAATCATACCTTTATTCAAATCTAATAATTATAACAATAAGAAAGAATATATTGGTTTGAATATATATTTTGTAGATATAGGCTTTTCTCTCTCTCTCTCTCTCTCTCTCTTTTTATATCTATATATATATATATTTATACATATATATTATAGATATAGATTTATTTGTGTATTGTTATTTCGAGCAATTTTCCTAATGAAGTTTTCGCAATTGCTTTTATTTATATTGAAAAGTAAACTAAAGGATATCCTATCGCGAATTATTCAGGTTTTGGGGCCTTTTGGAAATGGAGTATTGGGAATTTTTTCGTATTAAGTAAAGTAGACAGTAGTAATATTGGATATATATATATTTCAGATTAATTATTATACTTTATAAAATGTTTATTTATCTTTTTCGAACATCTCTTTTTCATTCTTTTTCTCCATTTTCCGATCCTGTTTCTCTTACTACTACCACTACTACTACTACTACTACTACTACTAATACTAATACTAATACTACTACTCTTCATCATCGTCCTCCTCCATACTCTCTTTAGGAAGTAATGCGGAGACTCGTTAGCAGATTTATACATCAATGGAAAAAACAAATGAGGCAGGACGGTGTGAACGAGGACGATCTATTGGAGATTAAACAGGATATCTCTTCGCTTAGATACGAACTAAGAGAGGATAGAAAAAGAGAATCCGCTAGAACGAGTAGCCATATTGAAACTGTAAAAAGGGACGTTATAAGATCAATTCATCAGTCGAACCCTAGTATGGACCACGCGTGTGTTGTTGATCCAATGAGCGAGATAAGCCAAGCCGTCCATAGACCTCCTTCTCCCTCGTATGCCGCCTATAGTCCTCCCACGCTGAGTTTCCTCAATCCAAGCGAAATCGACGCGCTTCGAAAGGAAATTATTATTGGTTTAAAGGCAGAAATACGTGAATTGGCTATGGAGATGGTTCGTGATAATGGCAACAACGCAGCGGCACCTAGTGCACCATCTTTAAATGCTGAATTGTATCACACTCATCTATACACTCAGTTGTAAAATGAAATGAAAAGGAAAGAGGAGAAGCTTCACAGTATGCAATGGACAATTTCAATTGATATACGAAAATATTATTCAACTTTATTATATCCTTTATCTGGCAGAGGATAGAGGATAAGAGGGACTATCTTAAACTGTATAGATATAGGAAAAACAGAGAGGATTATTCAAAATGAGAGGGAAAAAAATCTAGTCTTGAATCCATCCATAAGGGTAAAAGCTGTTGTTTTCGCTGTTGCTATTACTACTTACTCGTATTACAACTATCATTTCAACATTTATTTAAATATAGATAAATCCCTCTCTCTCTCTCTCTCTCTCTCTCTCTCTCTCTCTCTCTCTCTCTCTGTATGTGTCTTTCTCATATATGCAGTGTATATAGAAAAAAAAAACTGTACATCAATATACGAAACAAGTATTAAAATGTAATTAAAGGTTGATAAGATTTGCTTCAGTTTTATTCTGACATATCACGCAGAATGATTTTATGCAAATGAGAAAGATGAATTTAAATATATTTCCTTATGTTTCTTCTATATTTTCTGTTTGTATCATCTTCCACGTTACATCTCTTCTCACTAACAAAACAAATAAACAAATATGCATGGTTTTACTATAAGAATAGATTAGATATTTTCTATGTCTATTAGTAAAGTAGTTGGAATTATAGAGGGGACAGTTTATAATTGTTTCTCTGAAGAGATGTTTAGTTGATTATTATCGTATAATTAAATGATTGATCTATTTTGGAGAAATGTATAAAAATGTCTATTGTAAGAATGATAACGACGATAATGATGCTGGTTATGATAATAACTATGATGTAAATGATACGGCATTGCTGGACAAATGCTTTATGTAATGGGGCTGTTTTTTAATGCAGATGCTAATAACTCTATTATACTTATTTAACTATCGTACATTATACAGAATATACAATATACAATTATACGTTATCTTATCACTGATAGTTGTTATCTATTGGATTTTCTTTCTATGTATATTAGTGTCTTTCTTCTTTATCCTCCTACTTGTCCTCCTCCTCCTTTCTCTTGTCTTAATCATATTTTGCTAACGATTGATGAGTCAATTGGGAGAAATTGTTCATATTTTCCCCTCTGTTAAAGTTCCCTATCTCATTTTCTACTCAGTCATCTATATCTTGTTAATACTCTTTTTCATTCTAATCTACTAAATTCAATTATTACGTTTAATATATTTTATTTAAATAAAACGTATTCTTATTGCAGAGTATATAATATAATACTGTAATACTGTAATACTGTAATACTGTAAAAATATTCCAGAGTATTTTAAATTATTCTCTGGATTCTTTAGATATATACAGTATATAGTGTATATACATACATATATACTGTATATACAGTATACGTATTTATCTTGCTCTCTCTATCTTTTCGGTTGGTTTGCCTCTTTTTAACGGTTGCTACCTAAGCCTTGGCGATCTGGGAGTAATAGCCTGTTTGACGATATTTTCTTTGTATAAATCCCAGTTGGCTTTAGTCTGAGAGAAAAATATTCGATTATCATCTAAAAATAGACGAGAATATTTAATTAGGATGAGAAACCTGTAAATTGTGTTGGAGAACCCGATGAGACGGATATAGGGTTAATATTTGCCTTAAATGCTTCTTTACAAGATGATTAGCGTGCTTCATAAAAAACTTTTTTGACAGCATTACGCATTCTGCCCCTCTCGATATTAGGCTTACAGTAGGTTGGTTCCAATCGATGCAATCCTCAAAATCCAGGGATGAGAGACCCTGAAGCGTTAAAAAATAAAACAAAATTTATCCGACAATTTATAAGCCTAGAAAAGAGGGATCAAGGGGTTTCTCTTTCTCTTTGTAGGCGTTTTTTGTTTTCTTAAATATACTAATACACATTAGTATCTATATAAACATAGAGTATACTGTAATACTGTATATACAGTAAATACAGGCACCTGAATAGATTTGAAAACATGCTTTAAAATTAAAATATGCTATCAACTTACGAAAACGTCCCTAGGCTTTAAATGGTCAACTTGCACGAACGTTGTCTCAACTTCCTTTTCTCGTTCCGGTCTTTCCGTTTCGGCGCTCATTGGTATATTTCGTTTCTATTGAGCGCGAAAAGGAAGACAGACAAAGATTGAAAGTGAAAAATGATAAGATTTCAATTGGAGAAGAAAAAAAACCACTCACGAAATGAGCTTTGGAATGTTTTCTAATTCTGTTGAAATTCTCTAGAGTTGATCTATCTTTACTGTCTTTAACGAAAGACGGCAGGGATTTTGCCGATTTAATTGGCGTTGACGACCGAACCTAAAAATTATCATTATTATTTCAAAAGTAACAACTAGCAATTATCTAGTGCCAAACAGTGTTCTACAATATTATTATCTCTTTTTTCTTGACTATAGGCGAAAGGTGAATAAAAGAGAGAAAGAGAAAGAGATCGAGGGAGAGTGGGTGAGCGATAGAGAAGGAGAGACAGAGAGAGCTAAGAGAGACCGACTGAAGGAAAGAGTATGGTTTCCTATATAATCTATATAAAAGTAATATAATAAAGTCTCTCTAGCTGTCTATCTATCTATCTGTCTATCTATCTATCTCCCCCTCTCACTGTCTCGATCTCTATCTCTCCCTTCTTTCTTCCCTTTATCTTATAAATATAAAATATACATAAGCTGACAGTGAATTCAGTATACGAATTCGGCCTATTTAGCATATTAATACAAACAATATTTAGAAACCTTTATCAAGTCATTATATTGAGTTATTGCCCTTTTTAATTCCATAGGAAATTTTCCAACCATCGTATAGCTGCGCTTTATTCCAGAATCGATTTTTGGTTCTGTTTTATTTCATAAAAATTGTCTATATACATATATTATAACAAGAATTAGTGAAACGTTCATTCTATTATAGCATATATACGGGTCTATCGCTAATGTATGCGATAATAATATCCTATAAATCCTTATGATATCTTAAGAGGAAGAAGAAGGATTATTTGTTGAAAAAATGATCAACTGATCTTTTCCTTCTCATCTCCTTCTCTTCTAATATTACTTATTACTTATTCGCTTTATCTTCGGTTGCCTAATAAATTTCTTACCCATTTGCCCGCTACCCGATAGTTTTGGTAGTAAAGGTACTTCTCGGTCGTATTTCGTCTTCGCCGTCTTCTTGACTCGACCAACAACCGATTTCAATTGCGTAATCACTTGACACGAGCCCTGAATAAAAATCAATTCATCATTTCTCTTTCACATTCCGGTGCTCCCTGTTTTTTTTCCTTTTGGACAAAACTCACCGATTTCACTATATAAATCCAATCTGATTTTCTGCTATCCTCTATTATAACCACTCCTCTTCTAAGATTATATACAAAAAACATATACAACATAACTATATAGACTCTATATATAAATATCTGTTACTTGAAGAAGTGAAAGAGACAATATTCTGGATGATCGAGGAGGATTTCTATAGGCCAGTTCTTCATAAATTCTATGGACCTAAACAACGAGAAGGAAAAGGAGAGGCAGAAAATGAAAGAGATAGTAGAGTGAAGCGAAATTGTTGAATTAAAAGAAAAGATAATAAAGGAAAAGGATAGGGAGAGGGAGAGAGAGGGAAAAAAAAATACTATTAGGCTTGATATTCCATATAATACTTTATACTGTATAATACAGTCAATGCGGTGTTTGTTTGGCGGGAAAAGGATAATGGTTTTTACTTGAGAAATCGTATGTGTTGCGGTATATCTCCTGGATTTTGTCCACTCATGAAAATATCAAAGAAATCTTCCCTCTCAATTGCCAACACCTGAACTGTGCCTTGACTAGTAACCGTTGCCGTTCTCTTCGAACGATGTAACAGCGCCAATTCACCGAAACTTGCTCCCCTTCTCATTATGCCTACAGTTCTTATACATATTTCTCCGCTTGAAGTTTTCTTTTCAATGATACTAACGGCCGCTGTTTACAATTGCTTAATTAGTCGCAATAGTTGAACTTGGAATAGAGAAGAAAGTAGGAAAAGGTGACTAAGAGAGAAAAGGGTTTCTGACCTGCTCCTGAAAGAATAAAGTAAAAATTTTCGGCGTAATGACCCTGTCTTATTATGACCCGAGAACCTGGTATTCTGCCAAGGGATGAAGGGATAAAAAAAATTGTATGACGTTTACTAAACGTGTCCTCATTTCTATTAAAAAGCTTTACGTTTGCAGCCTGGCAACCCTGCATAGTTTCTCTTGCATATGTAAAGGATATTCGACGAACGATCTTAGATTTTGAAGTCCGTATAAAACTATTTGAAGTTGGTCGTTGGTTCTTTGCTCCGGGGGTAGACTTAGAATGTGTTGAACTTCCGAGCTTAGAGTGACCTTAACGAGGAGAAGGAGATGAGAAAGGAGTAAAATGGTAAAACAATTAAAAAACCAACTTCTGTTTTTGCTTTATAAAAGCTGACGTCAAAACTTAAACCGGACTTTTGTAAATCCGAAGAGTAATTTAACGCTGCTAAATCAGTAAAAGTAGCATATTTTTCTCTTTGATCATCGCTATCCTTTTTCCTAGAAAAGAAAGAAAGTATAAAGGACCAACATATTAAATAAAGAAAAGAATAATAACAAGACTATTTATTTACGGATAAGAATTTAAGAAAAGAGAAGGTAAAGTTACTTTAATCATTACTAACATTTCATTCAAACAGGATATCCATTTTTGAACGTTCACTATTTTCTTTGTGGCTTTACGAAATCTTTCTCTAGCCTGAAGACAAATAAAAATAATTTTTAATCTTGTACTATTTTCAATCCTTCTGCCTTTCTTTCTTTATTTCTTTCTCTCTCTCTCTCTCTCTCTCTCTTTCACTCTTTTTTTATAGATTTTATTTGTTTATTCTCTACCATTTTCTTAAGCTTATTCCTGTTAAAATTTTTAATTATTTGCTCTTTTTCTTCGTTAGTTTGTTGTTCTATTTGAAGACTATCTGCTCGACGTCTAGACATTTGCGTTAAAATCTCTGCTGGTCTAATATTATTATTATTTTTATTAATGTTCATGTTCTGGCATTGCTGTGCGACTGTTAACGGCTCATTCAAAATCCTCGTTGGCCTACGTAATTTGTTCAATTTTGCATCGGATGATGTTTGGATCATTGGTAAGCCAGATTTCGAATTGGTCCTCTCTAAACGTCTACGTAACGAGACGAGCGACTTTTTACGCTTGAATTCGTAGCTCATCGGCGGAAAGTTGACCTCCGACTCTTTCTTCTCCGGCTCCTTAACCTTTTCCTCTACGTCCTGTTCTTTTTTATGTGTTGTCGACTCTAGTTGACAAACAACCGCGTCAATCCTCTCTTCCGACGACGACATTGTCCGAACGAGAGCGGCTGTTCTCATTAATTGAGTAGAACTTCCGGTATACGACGTTTCCACTACTTGCCTCTCCCATTCGCTACCGAATGTTCCCGTTACGGCAGCAATTTCTAATAAACTTTGAACGTCTTCCCCAACCGACATGTTGTTTGTGTGGCTGAATTGTCTTCTTTTATTTTCCACTTATTTTCGCACTGTTATTCTCTATAACTGTTGATTTTTGTTTCGAACCTCCTTCTCCTCCTCATCCGCCCCCTCCTCCTCTCTTCTTCGGTTTTTGTCTTCGTGTATTATATCGGAATATAAACAAATGAAAACAGCCAGGAATAAATCCAATATTAATCCGATAACAGGGTCTGTCGGTCGATTAGTTTGAACTAACTCTAAAGCCTACACGGTTATTAAATCGTCGTCCTCTCTGACAATTAATCTAGCAGTTGAACGCGCCGCTGATCGTTTCCCATTCAAATGACAGCTTTGTCGCTTTCACCACAACATTAACGTGATTTTTTCAAGTAGCTAGGCCTAGGTCATTCTAGTAGGGATTTACCTTACGCAATTGGCAATTGTTACTGTACCTTTTTACGGCGAACCTCCAAAGCTATTTGATAGATTTTCGGTGTCTTGAAAGATTTCGGTATATTTAACGGTAGATCGTAGATACCCATACTGACTTTCTCTTCCAACTTTAAATCTCTCATCTTTGACCATAATGATAGTTTTCCTTGTTCAGTTTTAGGCCTAGTTTTCACACTCCTACCTAGTTCATTTCCGTCATCTACCGCTTCCCTTTGTGGTTCCTTTTGTTTGAAACCTATAGTGGTTTGGTTCAAGTTTCTATTAGGCAAGACTGGACAAGTTTCGCCCTTATTTTCTATAGAAAACAAATGAATAACATTATTAAAAAAGAAGCCAAGAAGAGAAGAAGGAAAGAAGAAAGAATAAATAAAAAAAAACACTTAAAGTTTGGCCGATAAATGATATATTTGATTGATTGATATTTCATATTTTACTAGCTAGTGCATTAAATATATTCTACCTTCCTTCGGTCTCCATTTTAGTAACCTTTCTTTTAATCTTTTCCTCTTCTCGCGCTGCCTAGCCTCCTTATCCTGCTCAGGCGAAGGTGTCTTCCTCTGTTCGTCGTCGATACATTCTTCAGGATCGCCTTTCGGTTTACTATAAAGTCTGGCTAGTAGGGTAATACGGTCGACCGAACTGCTAAACTCGTCGTACTCTTCTACCTTGGCCATAATTTTCAATCGGAAGAGAGCTGATAATAGGAGGTGGAGGAGGACGAGGAGGAGAAGGAGGAGAAGAAGAAGGACAAAGAAGATGATGGTATGAAGAGTTATAGAAGGAAAAGAGGAAAAATTAGCTTGTCCTATTAGAGAGAGAAAGGGAAGAAGACAGAGAAAAATTCCTCCTGAACAACACAAAAAAAGAGAGCGATCAATGTGTGATTTGTTAACGGCAACCAATTCGAATTATAAATAAGCAGTTCTTAAAAAGTAAATATTCCAAATTCAAATAATTTAATATTGATTATATAAGCTTTCATATAAATTTCATTCATTCATTCATTCACTCGTTCATTTATTCATTCAATCATTCACGTAATTAGTCAATCAATCAATCACTTTTCCATAAAGATAATGAAGATGATAAGAAATTTAAAGATATCTTTTGTTTTTTTGTTGTTTTTTTTTTTTCTATTTTCTCATCCTATACTTTTAATTTTAGAGGATAAAACACGAATTTTACGGTGACGACGACTCTGATGGTGTTGGAATGGAAACATTTCGAAAACTTTGTGGTTGGGGAGGAAGGGACTATAGATTATTCCTTTTGCATTAAATACAAAGAGTTTTGCAGAATGAAAAGATGATAACAGGATAACAAGGATTATTACATATTTAGGACAGCCACCCTCCTCCCCCTCCCTCCATATGAAAATGAGGCAACATTGAATAAGGCGATAAAGGCGAATATCGCAATTGTTCTATTTTTAACGCCTACTATTCTTCAGTTGTGTTCAACATGTGCTTTCTCTTATTACATGCATACGGAATAACTAATCCACGTGCTAAGAGAGTGATTATTTGATAAACGACCTGTTGAATCATAATGAGATGACAAATGATTTCTTTTTAAAAACAATAAATTCAATGACCTATTCAAAAACGAATTTTGTCCATCAGCTAATGGACGACGACGATCTCGAGTGTTGTCCAGACAACGAACAATCGTGTAACCAGAATCCATTACGCTTCTATAACGCCTCTTCTAGCAGTCAAATCGTATTAATAAAATTTCATATAAAATATATATTATTCAATTTTTCTGTTTTTCTTTTTCAATCATTTCAAATCATTAATTCATTCTGTTCATATTAGAAAAAATTAGGCCTAAATCCAATTGAATTATCTCTTGAAACGATTTTTTCAGTTTAATCTTGTCATTTGTCGATATGAAATCAACTGATTGAACTCTTCCTTCTATGAGGAGGATTTGTTTTCTCCTCTCTCTCTCTCTCTTTCTCTCCCTCTTTAATTCCATATTTATTAAGTTTATTCTTTGGGAAAATTGTAAATAATTGTTCATTTTAGACCTTTTCTCTCCGCCCACCCCCACCCCCACCCCACTCTCTCTCTATCTCTTCTCTCTCTTTCTCGTGTCTGGGTTCCCTTAGAATCTATTAATGAAACTTTATTGCCGTCTCCCTTATTAGATCAACAGTTTTTATTTGCTGTTAGTTTGTCAGCGATCTTAAACATCTTAAAGGAGGTGTGGGTGGGTTTTTACCTTTTCACTACATATATATATAAAGTATAATTCTTCTAGCTTATTCGATTTTCGAGTTGATTGAAGAAAAAAAAATGAACAAATGGATTTGAAAAGAAGAGAAAAACTTTCATTATTTATTCCATTTTTAAAAGGTCACGTTTAATACAATTCACTTTTCTCTAATAGGAAAATGTTTTCACCATTTCACTCTTATTATTCACTTTCCTCCTTCTAAACACGGAATATTTGAGAAAGGCGTTGTCCATGTCTTCATGGATAAAAACAGATAGTTTATCAATTTTAATCAATACAATTTATTCTAAATATCTTATGACAGCCGGCATACGTTTGTTCTCTTTATAATCAATTTTCAATCCGTCACCTAGTTTATTTTTTATTTCCTTTACTTTACGTTTCCTGTTGTAATACGTCATCCTTTTACTTTCTAACTATAAAGTGTTTAATACTCCTTTAAGTCTTTATTACTTTAACTTGGGAAAGAGAAGGGCAAAAGCGCGGCTACTTCTTTTACCCTAGAAAGGAAGGCAGGAAGGAAGGAAGGATGAAATAGAAAAGAGAACTATGTAGAAAAGAAAGATGATTGAAAAGTGGATAATAAATAAGAGAGAGATTGATTTTTAAATGAAATTTATTGAAATTGAAAGAGCAGTTTAAGCGTGTTTCAAGATGTTGTAGTAGCAGTTGGAGGAACCATTTTCGTGGCAAGCAGTCTCGTCAACTGGACAACAGTCGTGTTCATCTCCTCTGATTGATGGACAGCATTTGAATCCGGCGTTGCAACAACCAGAAACGGTTGGCTCGTGCCAGCAGCAAATCTGACTGCCTGGTTGGCAAAAGTTGTCGGCGGGACATCCCCATGCTCTGGTTGTGGTTGGAAGAGTGGTGGCTGCAAAAGGCAAAGAGTTTGTAAGAGAGAGAGAGAGAGAGAGAGAGAGAGAGAGACTACTTACTGCAATAAGCGACAGCAACGAGAGCGGCGAGAGCAATCAACAATTTCATTTTTGGTTTGATTTGTAGTTCCTTGTACACTGCTACTAAAGAGTCAGAAATGGATAATTAGTTCATTCAACCCGTTCCTTTTATAATACTGAAATTTCAATGGGAAATGGCAGATAATAGATTTCGCTTTATCTTTATGTTGTTTTAACTTTGACTGATCAAATTTCCACTATTAATAACATTTACACATTCTCTCCATCCATCTACTTTATTCTTTTTGAACAAAAAATAAAAAAAAAAAGAATTGAATTATTTTTTTTTTCTTGAAAAAGAAATTCTTTTTTAATGACATCTGCTTCCTCACATAAAGTATACTTTATGCTTATCTTTGCAATTTTTACCTTTCTTCTTCATCCTTTCTATTCTTACTTTCTCTTTTTCAACGTACGATAGTTACATTCTGCCTTTGCCTTTTTGATATACTTTTAATCTTTGTCAGATATATAGCTATACTTATATATATATATATATATATATATATAAATTTATATATACTGTGTATTGCATTTTTATGCATGCATATATTATTGCTCTTTGCCATTCTCTTAGCTTTAGAATCTTTCATTTTCTATTCATATATTTGCCTATATCGTAGTTGTGTTCTCTCTTTCTCTCCAACTTTCTTTTTCGTTTTTCGACCTATCACTAGGCCTAATCAGCCAAAAAAAAAATTACTTCGACAGTTGGAATTTAAACGACATTTTGAAAAGAAAGAAGTTATGACAATCAAGAAAGTTACTTTTCTTCTAGCTCTCTTTTCTCTTCTATACATTCTGAAGTTTTCGGGCAAGTTTAACTTTTTCCCCTCCACCCCTCGGCTTATTGGACAAACTTCTTATTAAAGCTTCCTTTACATATGATATTATATTCTAGTGCATTTATTTCTTTGTTTAAAGTTATCGGTTATTTTTGAAAGTATTATATTACAGAGTCTGCTTCGACCACTCCTCAATTTTACAATTGTCGACCTAACAACCCTTGCTCGTCGTCCGGTCAAGTTTGCTGCTGGGAAGAAGATGTTGTAGCGGGATGTTGCGAACCAGGATTTAGATGTTGCCCTTCGCAAACAGGAGACAATCACGACTGCTGTCCGGATTCTCAAGGTGTTTGTCACGAGAGTGGGGGAGCGTATTGTTATTTGGCGAAACTTGTTAACAAAAGAGGAAATTTTTAATATAGAAAGAATTCTAAAAGATTTTTAGAATATTTCTTTAAAAGCAAAATATAAACCGTCTATTTTTTTATTTATACCTTTTCTCCACAATTTCAAAGCTCTGTATAACTACAAACAAGTCATTAATCTCATCCATTTTTCCTGTTCAACTCTTACTCTTTTTATCTTCAAAAATCAACTACTATTATGAATGTTCATAGATGTTACTTTCGTATTTCGCCCCTTAACACTTTCTCCTCCTTCCTACGTTAATCGACGGATAGTTTATCTATTGGGAGAAGAAAACGAGACACGAAATGTGATTAAATTCGTATTGTAATCCTAGAAGAAATTCTATTAGGACAATTTTAGGTTTTCTTCTTTCTCTCTTTCCTTGTAGTGATGTCTTAGAATACTACTATTTTGTTATATAAGAGAGAGAGAGAGAGGGAGGGAGAGCGAGAGAGAGAAGACATTCAAGAGAAAGATATACAGGAATAATAAAAGATATTAATAGATCATGATTGATTTTTTTAATACAAATTGATATTTGTGATATTACTCTTTATTCATATAAATGTTAGTATACCTATGTATACAGACACGTTTACATACATATACACATATTCTTCCCCTCTTAACCTTTTAACTCTATTCTCGTTCCTTTTGCCTTTTCCATTCTCTCTTTTAGTCTTTCTGTTCAATCAATATATTAAAAACGAATTCATTCGAAACAGCAAGGGAGATTGAAAGATTTTTAGCAGGGGTGGTAAGCAACAAACTAATGGGGCAAAAAATATGATGTTAACGCTTCGTGGGTGTTTTAATCGTATGAGATAAAGGCCTATCTCTCTCTCTCTCTCTTCATTGTACTTTTCTCTCAAGTTAAATAAATAGTAAATCTGAACAGAGTCTCGAGAGAGTAGTTTGGACATTAATCGGAAGGGGAGGTGGAATTCTATTGAAACAAAATGAGTGGGAAGACGGGAGGAACCGTTAAGTATTGTTTAGAGAAAAATAACAAGAGACTGTTATCGAAAACTTTGAAGAAAAAAAGGGCAATAGGCCTAACTGATTAATGAATATTCAAGTTATCATAAAAATTGATTAAAAGCGGTTACGCATAAAAGGAGATAAAATGTAAATGAATGTTTGTGTATGTATCTGATTGACATATGTTCGATATCTCACGCTCTTCGTGCCAGGTACCGCAAATCTCTACCTATTGACGCAAACAAAATCTGCAAATTTAAGGCCTTATTCATCTAATTCTTGGTTACGCTCTTAATTCAAAACATGTCTTTAACTATCAAATTTGCTATATTTTTCTCCTTTTGCTTAATTGCAAACGCCTATCCAGGTAAGTTTGTTTTGTTAATTCACTTTCTCTAACCCTTTCTCTCTCTCTCTCTCTCTCTGTATCTCTGCTATTCTAGTTTAATAGTTACATGGTATCTTTTTTTACAGGAAATCCGTTTCGTAAGGAAAATGACAGCTGTAGACCAAATAATCAATGCCAAGCAGTTGGACAAGTTTGTTGCTGGGAATTGGATCAATCCATTGGATGCTGTGAAAAAAACTTTAAATGCTGCCCTTCGCTTAGTGGAGATCGTCACAATTGCTGTCCGGTAAAAGAGTCCGAATGCAACAACAATAATGGAGCGTCTTGCTATCTTTTGAAAACAGTTTTAAAGAAAACTGGAAAAACTTCAGTAAAAGAGGATTGATTTTAAAACAAAAAGTCTAATAGAAAAAAAGAGAGAGAGAGGCCATGGCTTGATTTTTATCTAAAATAGAATAAAAAAGATTGAACAAGACTCTACAGATATTTCTATCCCGTCTCTCTCTCTCTCTCTCTCCCTCTCTGTCTCCCTCTTTTGATTGCTAACATATGTGAGGGGTACACTCATTTATTTGCTGTACTCTCCTTCATCGTAATTTTTCTACTCTTACTCCTACTCCTACTCCTGCACAACAACTAATTTTTACTTAAACTATCTTTTTATTCTCTTAAAAAAGAGATAGAAAACAGTTAAAGGAAGAAATAAATGATCAAGTTTTCTATTCCTTTTTTGACTGAATGAAATACAAAAGTTTCGATTGGTAGAAGGTCTTTAGGCCTCATTTAAATATCAGTTTATATATATATTATATATAAATAATAAAAATATAGCTTTAATTTTATCTTTAATCTTATTTTTAAAATATTTTTTATATCTAAATAAAAGAACCGAGTCTTTTGATTTGTTCATTTTTCTCTATCTTTCCTCTCTCTCTCTCTCTCTCTATCTCTCGTCTTGAGCTCTTTCAAATTCAACTTTCTATCAAGTTTATATGCTATCTATATTTTAAGTATCCGCATTAAAAACAAGAAGCTAAAAAAACAGGTTATGCAATCTTTTCGTCCTATTCCTCCTACTTGTCTTAGTCATTCCTAATCCAATCTATGTTACCATGACAAAGAGTCGGCCTAGGATAAAACTGAACTGAAATATAGATGCCTAGAAATTATAGTTCAATAGTAAAATCTGACGAAAAGAAAGAGAAGTGTAACAAGCGGGATAGACAATGATCTATGGAGATAAAAGATGGCTCTTTGATACATTCTCTCCAAGACTATAAATAGGTATGTATCATACGGTATGTATGTATATTTATTTGGCTTGTTGATATAGTAAAAACTAAACGGGAGCGCAAAGTGGAAACTTTAACTGCGTCGCCTAGTCGTTAAGTGATAAAAATAGCAGATGTCGCATTACATGTACCTAATTTTTGTACGCTTTTTTTTCCAAATATACATCATTTTGACCCAGATTTTAAATATGAATAAATTCTGATGTAACGATGATAGCTATCTTATTATTTCCTCAACTCTTATTCTGGAAACTAGTTCTTCCGATTTCCCTTTCTTTTTCTTTGCATTTAGAGAAATCCAGCTAATAAAATGTTTTCAAAAGCAATCCTACTGTTCTTTTTACTCTTTTGCTTCTTCTTCTCTCTTCACCAAGCAAGGATGATTAGCAATTTACAAGAAACCACTCCACAATTTGGTAATTGCAGGTAAGCGTGAACAGCTTGAATGAATGAACGATTCAGACAATTAATTGAACGAAATTGATAAATATAAGATAGAACCAATTGTAAATCCATTTTTGGATTAAAATACTCTTTTCCCCTCGGCTATTCCCTATTATAGACCAGACAACACTTGCTCGATACAAGGTGAAATTTGCTGTTGGGAAAGCAATACAGTTAGCGGTTGTTGTGAAACCGGATATAAATGTTGCCCCTCCCAATCAGGAAGTGCGCACGATTGTTGCCCAGAAAGTGATGAAACTTGTCAAGGATCGCAATGCTATTTGGCCAAAGTTTATAAAAATTACAATTAATAAAGGATAAGAAAAAGGGAAGAGAAGATAAGGAAGAAAATGAAGAAGAAGAAGAAGAAAAACAGCAATAATATTTAAAACCAAACCAAATAAAATATGATGATAATTTTAGAATTGGAATTTTATTGATTTTTAAGGATTTTCTCTCTTTCCTCTCCTCTTTTTCTCTTCTCTCTTTTATTTGTTTTACATTTTTCACATCAATACGCTTTTTCATTAAAATAAATACAATTTAGTTAAATAAAACAATCCTTCAGTCTTCGCCTATCCATCTATTTAAGTGATTTTGATATCTTCTTTATCATCTTCATTCTTCTTTCATATTAATGGAGGAAGGGAGAGGGAATAAATCAAAGTAATCTTATTAAATATGAACGCTTGGAAGGGAAAAACAAATATTCAACAGATGGTAAAGAATAAATTAAACTAGTGGGTGTGTTCAGGGCAGTGTATCCTTTTTTAATATTAACAAAGCCAATAGATTAGTACTACTATACACTGTATCTACACATTTCGTTGATGTGTTGAACGATGGCCAAATTTTTCAATTCTCCTTTCCTCCTATACGAGTAATAGGACAGAATATACAACATACAAACACTTGCAGACTCTTTCTTGGCTTTAGAATAGTCATTATCGCTTTATTTATTTTTATTATTATTGTTATTATAGTTGCTTTTTATCTTATTGTTGTTTTCTTTATAAAACTATATTATAGTGTATATACGAGATCCTATTCAATCATTAAATGAGCATGCTTTGTCTTCCTTGTCTCTTGCGTTTCCTTTAAACAGTTTACTTAATTTCTATTCATAGAAACATTGTATTTTTAATCAAAAGAAAGTTAATTTTAACTCTTTTGTCTGGCCTTTTTTGTTATTTATAGCGATGATACTTAAACCTATACAGTATAAACTAATATATAATTATATTATATACACAGTATATATATATATATATATATATATTTGTATTTGTCTACTAAAGGAGAGAAAGATGAAGGAATTGCTTTAACTAATCTTTAAATCTTTTATATACGAGGATCCACTATAAGAAATATATTCAATTAAAAATAAACTGCTTTTCTCAAGGCTTGTAGTAAGTTAGAAAATATCGTTCAAGTGGCACTTGATCGGTGATATTGAGAGATAATTAAAGATTATATGTATCTATCTAACTATCTCTTTATTCTCTCTTTTACTAATTTTAATCTATAGTCTTTTCAATTGTAGTCAAGATGACTAGTAAATACAAATAAACTAGACGATATATTCCATTGTATAAACATTTCTTCTACCTCTTTTTTACGTTGAGTAAAACTACTACGACTACTACTGGTAGTAGTATTACTACCAGTTTTACCACAGATATTCACTTGATACTATTTATCCCCATCCTTCTCTTAATTCACTTGAAATCAATTCATTCTTTTTGTCTGAGTCATTCGTTAAACAGACCTTAAATGAGATAGCAGAATTTAGAAACATGACGTCAAAATACATAATCTCATTAGTAAATTGAAAAAGATAGTCAACCTGCAGACTTTTCAGATTGTTTTCGTTGAAAAGGCAAAAATAAAACTTTATACTGTATCTTTAATATAGATAAAAAATAACAAAACCAGAATTGCGACCACACCTCTCTCTCTCTCTCTCTCTCTTATTTTAACCTTTTAGACTTCATATGATTATTTTCTTTCTTTTTAGATTTTCTCTTCTAGTGCCGACAACTATTTGAAAAAGTGTAATTAACTTTATTATAAGAATTAATCTACTTTAAAAGTTAAATTATGCCTTTAGAAAAAATATTTCAAAGTAATAATTGAAAGAAAAGGACAGGTAAAAGTATAGAGGAACAGAGATAGATAGATAGATAGAGAGAAAGAGAAGAGAGAAAATGAATTAGTACAAAAATATTTCACAAAGGTAACTCGTCAGTGTAAGAAAAGCTGTTGGTTTTCAGATTAAGCATTACGAATAAAGATCGAAATGGCCGCTTTATGTAAGATTACTCTTTCTCGCAGACTAAACATCTATTCAAGCATATTTTAAGGAGCAACTTTACTATTCTTAAACAAATAAAATAAACAGTTAAGCAATAATGCCATTTCACTTAAAAATCGTTTATTATTCAACATAGAAAAACTGATTCAATACAAAAGAAATTGTCTGCCAATATTCTTCAAAAACTAGTGTCAACCTTTTATTCTTTAGCTCTCTCTCTCTCTCTCTCTCTCTCTCATATCAAGATATACTGTATATATATATAATATACATACTTTAAGTCATATTAACTTTGTCTGACTGACCACACCCTGATTTAAATTGACTATAATTTTGTTCATTGTAAATTGAATTCGACCTATATATCCGAAACTATTACATCCTTTGATACCCTTCCCAAAAAAGCCAACAACAACAATTTCCCGTGGTTGTAATCGAAATCTCTCGATTTCCATTATGGATTATATCTTATCTGAAGTGGCTTATTAAAGAGAAAATTTTATCTCTTAGCTCTCCAATTAAACATGATTATTCAACAAATAACGTGAAATCATTGCACAATGTATGTATTTGAAAACATCTCTGTCTCGTCATATTATTGATGGACATCCATTTCTCCTAGTATAGGATAAATTTCAGAGTGAGGTCATACAGTATGTAGTTCTTTAATAAACTGCACTCCTCCCAGATAAAAAGAAATTAACTTTATCGAATACATAAAATATTCTTATCTTATCGAGATATCTTAGATTACGCTTAATTAGTATTAGCCCTTATAAAATCAATGGATTTTAAGCGATTTCAATTTACTTTATCTTTTGACAGCAGTTGCAGTTGAAAAGTGAAAAATGAAACTAGTTTTTATTTCTGTTCTTTTATCTATTGGTTTGTCTTTAACCTTGCTTAGCTTTACCTTGAAAATACTTTATCTAAACTTTTTCTTTTCCCTATTGTCTCATCAACAAATAAAGCTACTTGCTATGCCAATGAATGTATTGGTAAACCAGACGGAACGCATGTTAATCAGGCTTGCAATTACTACGTCGAATGTCGTAATCAACAAGAATACCCTTTCTATTGTAATCCCCCATTGGTTTATAATCATTTAAAACGAAGATGTGACAAGTATGTTGTGTTCAATAGGCTGTTCACTTTTGCTTAAAACATTTCTTTACCTTAGTCCAGAAAGTACTCCTCCTCCATGTGGACAACAAGAGAATTGCGATTCCCTACCCGATGGAAAATATCCCATTCTACGATTCCAATGCAGATGTTATTTCACCTGTAGATCATCTATAAATATAGGAACCCAATGCTGTCCGGGTGGTTTGTAAAATACTTTCAATTTTTAAATACAGTGAAATGATGGAATGAAATTTCTTTCAATAGGTTTGGTTTGGGATATATTTTCCGGAGTTTGTAATTGGGATTATCAGGTTCCTCCACCGTGCGGAACCAAACCAGTGCCAACGCCTCCAGTCGAAACAACGTCTACTCCAGTCAAAACAACGTCTGCTCCAGCCGAAACAACGTCTTCTCCTGCGGAAACAACAACTATGGGAAGCTCAGGTTCAGGATCAGGCTCAGGTTCAGGATCAGGCTCAGGTTCAGGATCAGGCTCAGGTTCAGGATCAGGCTCAGGTTCAGGCTCAACTTCAAATTTTGACACAAATTTCGATGAATTTGTATTGATAAATTAAGTTTTGAAATAGGAAATTAAACTGTATATTGTATATAATAATATTAGAGAGAAGATATTCTTTAGGAAGATGTTTGAAATCTTTCTACTCCTTTATCTCTCTATCTATCTATATTTGTCGTTTCTTTCTCGTCTCTTTGCAACCTGCAGAGAGAAGAGAAAGAAAGACAGAGAGAGAGAGAGAGAGAAATAAGCTATGTACCTTTTTAAATTAATAGATAATTCTAATAATACTTCATTAATTGAATAAAGAAGAATAATAGTAATCTTAAAGAAAAACTTGTTTCTAGATTTAATAGTAAATTCAGTAAATTTCCTGTAGATGGCAGCGTTGTTTAAAATAAGTCTATTGTTAACAAAAGTGAAAGTTATTTAACAATAGGAGGATGAATGGTTATTGATGATAGAATGTTTCTATTTTAAAGAATTAACGAATTATGTAAAAAACAAGAAGAACAAAATGAATAGATTTATAGATTTTTTAATTAGTTTGTTTCTTTGTTTCATTTGTTTTTAGATGAACAAAAATTTATTGATTTTTTTTTTTAAAAAAAAAATCTATTCCTTTTTTTTTTGGTTTTATTTTGTAAACTTTTTCTAAATTGATAAGAAAAAAAGAAAAACAGGCTTAAAGCATTTACTCTGTTAGGCTTCAATTTGATCTATCTACAGTATGAGATGGAAGGCTAAATTTCGGAGAGGGTCAAAAGGAAAATAGTAGGGAGAGAGAGATGGGAGGGAGTGTTAATTTATATCTCTTCCTCTCCCCCCTAAATGTACAAGTATGTGATTAGTCAGATCTCTATTGTATAGTTATTATCTCCGTTTATTAGATATTACATAATAGATGACGAAAGCTACCGATAGAATAAGATCGGTAACAGTTCTATAAAATAGCATTCATTTAAAATTCACTTTACGTATCATCGATTTCAATTTCGACAAGCAGGTGGCGCTCTATGTTAAAAGTTCTTTAAAAAAGGATTTTTAAGGACTGATATATCTTATGCACGAAGGAAAATAATGATTTTTATTTACTTGATTAGTTTAGCTTCTCTCTCATTTTAATCTTTGTAAACTCTCCAATCTTTTATAATCTTTAGAAGATCTCTTCTCTTTCTCTCGTCTCTTCCTCTTTATTCTTCAGTGTCTAATTATCACTTGACTTGACTTTTAGAGATTTTGGCAGAAAGTTTTTTATTAATGATGTCCGTAGTGGCCTTGTTTCTTAGCTTTAGTCAATAGGCATGTCTATGAAATGCAAATGGACACGTTACATCCATTCGGACATATTTGTTTTTATAGTTGATTCTATTCCTCCATCAACGTCTGGAAGAATCATCGATTACTTTGCAAAGAATGCAGCATATAGTTGGCAGAGAGAAAGCTAAAAGAGATGACGATTCAATCTCTGTACATTTAAAAGACTACCTACACCTAATACCTGACTACATTTAAACTTTAAACCATCATATACAGTAAACTGAATTGTGCAGAAAACAACCTTACCCTTTATTCTTTATACCCTAGAACTGAGACACATTCCCAAGTCTTTTCAGTTAACCCTTTCCTAACCTAGCCAAATCCTCAATTAAATTCTCCTAACAGTATGAATATCTGGAATATCTGAAATCTTACGATGAATTCTCCCATGAGGAGGAGGAGGAGAAGAGGACATTTTCTCTATCATTTAGAGATAATAATTATAGGGAAGAATTAACAATTGATACTATACAGTATAGATATATCCGGTATATTGAATATCTATGGTTGCAATACCAGGAAGAAGAGAGAGAGAAAAGGTGAGAAATATTGCAAGTGTATATTAAAATCCTTTAAGGCAAACATTAAGAAAATGTATATTTTTATATTAAGAGAAATAGAAAAGAAAGCTAGAAATATCACTCCAAAATACATTATGATTAGTAGTAGTATAGAGGTAAAACATCAAAGAAAGAAGAGAGGTTTTATCTTTATTATCTTTTAACTCTTCCTCTTATTCTCCTTCTTAAAATTTTTCTCAAGAAAAATCTCTATATAGTATTAAATAAAAACAAAAACGCTTGTCTGCTTTTTTCCTCTCCTTTGACTTTGCCGTCTACTTGTTTTGTTTCATTCTCTTTCAGTTCTTCGGACCGAAGGCATTCATGAGTTCTAGATAAGAAATATAAAGTTAGGAACAGTTAAACGAATAGGAAATGCTTTAGTTTCATTCTCTTTCTAAAACTTACCAATCGGTAGAGGGAATATGATGGTGGAATTCTTTTCTGCTGATATTTGCGTTAGAGTTTGAAGATATCGGAGTTGGAGAGCTCCCGTAGCCTCGTTTATAACATCGGCTGCTTCTTTCAATGCTCTAGAGGCGTTTTGTTCACCTTCCGCCGCGATAACCTTTGCTCTAGCGTCCCTGGTCGCTTCTGCCTCTGCCGCCATAGCCCTTTGTAGTTGAACAGGTAGTCGTACATCCTTAATTTCAACCCTTTCAACTTTAACACCCCATGGATCAGTACCTAATGGGAAGAGACAAATTTGAAGAATGTCTTAGATGGATAATTGGTAGAAGAAGAGGAAGAGGAAGAGGAAGAAGAAGAAGCAGACGAATGTGATAAAGAAAAACAACCAAAGACTATACAACAAAAAGGTGACTCGCAGTGGTTTACTTTCTAGCAGAAACTTACCCTCATCAAGGACAATCTGAAGATGAAATAAAACAATATATAGAGTAAAAATTCAAGATTATATAGTAGAGTATTGGATAGCAGAATAAAAGAGAAGCAGTCTACTTGTACAGTCTACAACTGTTGCATATACAATATACTGTATATTGTATTCATTTAAATAAAGGTACATTTTACTGGATTTGTTTTATTTAGTGTCTGATTCTGTCATTCAATATTTACCTGCATATTATTCGCTACTGTTTCCCTTTCTGTTAGAATATCGCTTAGCGTTTTTGTTCCTAAAATATTTCTTAATGTTGTTTGGGCTAAAAGGCGAGTTGATCTGGAACAATCTTCCACATTCACTACGGAAATCATTGGATTCGAAATTTTATAATAAACAACTGCATCAACCGCAATTGTTACCGAATCCTTTGTTAGAATCTCTTGAGGTGGAACGTCAAAGGAAACCGTACGCAAATCAACTTTGACAAAATGATCCAAACAGGGTATAATAAAGAATATTCCGGGTCCTCTAGACCCGGAAAGAACTCTTCCAAGTCTAAACATAACCGCTCTTTCGTATTCCTGTACGAGCTTTACGCACATGAATATTGAAATTGGAAAAGTTAAAAAGATAAGAAGGAGTGAAATTCCTTTCAGGATTATCTAGTAGCGGGAAAAGAATTATTCATTTAAGTTATAGCTGAAGAAGGAATAGAATAATTAGATAATTATACTGTAGACTTACACCGCAACATCCAAGACTGCCTCCTCCTCCCTTGATCGTAACATTGTCGTCTGATTAATTTACAGAGTTAGGTTATTGAAAAAAAGAAAAGAGAAGAGGAAGAAAAGCATTTTTGTTTAAAAGTTGTAACTTTTTCAATTAGAAAAAGAAACGTATAGAAGATTTAAATAAGATTATTTCTGCATAGCTAACTGATCATTTACCTTTCGAATTATCCATTCCAGCTAGTCAAAGAGTTTTAAATCTTTCATTCACCCTCTCTCTGTTCCTCTCCCGATCAAGAGATGTTTACAATTAATTATATAAATTATGGTTCTAGTCTGGTTTATCCTCGCGCTGTAGTTTACCCTATTGAATTTTCCTCTTGGAGCAGGTAACACATTCGACTAGAGGGGTGTGGTTCCCTGATCAATAATTTATGTAATTATTTTCTTTTTAATTCTGTGCCTTTTTTTCTTTTTTACCTTTTGCATTTATACTCAAAACAGTGATTCCTTAATGTCTATGCATGCTTGCATGATTTCATTCCAAACAAATTAATTTACTTAATAAGGTCATCTCTCTTTTCCCATTTAATTTATATTATTCATTTATATATACAGTATACTGTATATGAATGTAAAGTACAATCTAGAGAATTAATCTCTTTAGTCCTATATCTACCTTTGGAAAATTCTCTTGCTTTTTGGTTTTTTATATTTCATATTTTTTCAACATTCAATATAAGGATTCTCTTTACTATTCTCCTTAATAAATGTTACATTTATTAATATCTAGTACAGTGTGAGACATCTACTGTGTAATTTGTATATGCCGTATATATACCTTATATACGCTATTCTTTATAGCTGTTAGCTCAATAGAGCCTATTTCTCAGCCTGTCTAATGGATTTCTTTTGTTTTCTAAAGGCAATGTCGCTATCTTGTTAAAAAAATTAGAATGTAAACGTCAGTTGAAATGAATATTTAGTAACGATACTACTCTACAAACAATTAGAATGCTTGTACGGATAATTTATACGCTTTCTTTAACATGTTTTAATAAGATATCTTCACCTGGTCTTTCTTTCCTTCTCCTTTTCGAATGCAGGGTAACAGTCTTTAGACTACTCAAATTCGAAATGGAAAATTTTCACCAAGTTCATCTATTTTTTATTTCAATTCGAATTTAAAGCTTCGATATTTCCGGTTATTAACACAAAAAACAATAACGCATTTCTCCGACCTCTCGACTGACCTAGTTAAAAACATCACAATAAGCATTAATTCAATTTTTTTTTATTATCAAAAATTCCACAAGTGTTTTACTTATTACGATTAATGGAGATAAAAATTGGAGAGAAATAGGACTACAGTTGAAAGCGATTGTCTCATTAAAATGACAATAACCGTCTTTTAAGAAGGAAAAATGCGAATTTAGGAAGAGAGAAAGAGAAAGAACGTCTTGGAAAATATGAAAAAGAAAATGGGTAATCATTCGATAATAAGTCACTAATTCGTAATATTTTGCTCTTAATCTTATCATAAAGATATTTACTATTATCAATAGCGATAAGAGAAAGAATTCATACTTAAATAAAGAGAGTAAAATCAATTAAATCAATTAATCAACACTGCTGTAAAGTTGTTTGGGTATACTTTTGAATATACAAACATGCGAAAGATAGCTACAATCCTTCTTCCACTTTTCGGTATTTTTCATTCATTGCCCTCTTCACCTGTTTCATTAGTCCTATTTTATAGCTTACACTCTGGCCAACGATTGCATTGGTAAACCCGACGGAACTCATGTTCACCAAGCTTGTAATTACTATGTAGAATGTCGTAATCAACAAGAAGTTCCCGTCTATTGTAATCCACCATCGGTTTATAATCATGTGAAGAGAAAATGCGATAAGTAAGTTATATTCTGTTCATTCTATCCGGCAAATTTGTTCGGATAATAACGAGAAAATCACCGATCAGTCCTCAGAACACACCACCTCCTTGCGGAGCTGAAGAGAAGTGCGATGGTTTGCCAAACGGAAGGTATCCCCTATTGAATCTTCAATGCCAATGCTATTTTACTTGTCAAGGAGGCACAAACATTGGAACCCAATGCTGTCCAAATAGTTAATATTTCATTCAATAATTAATCCAAAATGAATATCGTTTGTAATCCATCTTTTCCTTTGAAATTCATTTATATTAGATTTGGTTTGGGATGTATTTACCGATGTATGTAATTGGCCAAATCTAACGCCTCCACCTTGCGGAACTAAACCACCAGAGATTCCTCTTCCCACTACAGCAGCACCCCTGCCTACTACTAACACACCAAAGCCTGCTACTACTCAGGGTGCAATTCCTCAAACAACTTCACAATTTGGCTGTCCGCCTACCAATTTTTGCCAATCAAATCAAATATGCTGCTGGCATAAACCAACTATTTCTGGTTGTTGTAACAGCGGTTTTAAATGTTGTCCATCGATAAGAGGCGATGACCATGATTGCTGTCCAGTAAATGAAGTCGGTTGTCACGAAAATGGCAGTTCTAATTGTTATTATAATATTTTGAGAACATCTAATAAATAAATGAAGATCAAAAGGAATTTTTATTTTCAAAAAGTACCTGTCTATCTTTTACTCTGTTTTATTGAAGTATACCATTAATGGTGGTATTTGACAAACATGTTTTTACTATTTCCTATGTTTTAGCATTCATTTTTTCAAGCTAGTAACATCATTGAAATACTTGAAAGATTTAGCTGAAAACAAACAAACAAACAAACAAAGCAACATTTTTTTTTCATTCATTCAAAACTCCATCTCAATTTAAAGAATTACTTCACTTCTCACTCCAAAGAGAGTATGAATAATTAATGGAACTAATTGAGTACATACTTCAACGCCAAAATCATACGCAAGCTCCATTTAATTAATTAAACATAAAGAAGAAGGGTATGATACATAGACAAATGGAAATTTAGTTTAAATAGGTCAACTTTCCACTTTGAACGATATCATAAATAATATATTTTAAATATGGATAGGACCGAAAAAGATCTTTTCAATAATTAAGATATAGATAATATTCATAGTAGTCACGTGCTTCAATTCTAAACTGTTTGTATTATTAGCAAACTATACTTTACAATGAATGACGTAAAAGATAAACACAAAGCACTCGTCTTTCATAGATTAAACATATCTACACATTGATTTTTCTTTCAATTTCGCTACCAATCAATCAATTGCAAAAAATCATTTAATATAGTTATCTTCAAGATATTTAGCGTTATCAATAAAGATAAGAGAAAAAAAAAGTTCTATTTAAGTAGAATAAGTATAGAACAAATCTCTTTGATCTTTTTGGTCATAATCCTGTTGAGAAACATTCAAAGATGATCAAGATAATTGCACTTATCTTGCCATTTTTTGGTAGATTACGATTATTATGATTTTCTTTTGTCTCTTTCAAAAATTTTCATTCTTGAAGAGTTATCGTTAAAGTCGAATATAATTTTCGTATTTCGCAGTTTACGCTTTGGCCAACGATTGCATTGGTAAACCCGACGGAACTCATATTCACCAAGCTTGTAATTACTATGTAGAATGTCGTAATCAACAAGAAGTTCCCGTCTTTTGTAATCCACCATCGGTTTATAATCATATGAAGAGAACATGCGATAAGTAAGTTGTATTCTATTCATTCTATTCGCTAAATTTGTTCGGATAATAACGAGAAAATCACCGATCAGCCCTCAGAACACACCACCTCCTTGCGGAAATGAAGAGAAGTGCGATGATTTACCAAACGGAAGGTATCCCCTATTGAATCTTCAATGCCAATGCTATTTTACTTGTCAAGGAGGCACAAACATTGGAACCCAATGCTGTCCAAATAGTTAATATTTCATTCAATAATTAATCCAAAATGAATATCGTTTGTAATCCATCTTTTCCTTTGAAATTCATTCATATTAGGTTTGGTTTGGGATGTATTTACCGATGTATGTAATTGGCCAAATCTAACGCCTCCACCTTGCGGATCTAAACCACCAGAAGCTACTCCTACCCCTTCTCTAAAGGCTAATCCGGAATAGTCGATAAATAACGTACGTAGCAACTTTACAAATTGGATCTGTTCTTCAGCCGCTTTTTGGTTTCTACAATCTAGAACTTTGACTATATCGTCCATCGTTTAGGGTCGAAAAACGAAATTGTTGGTTTATCGTCTATATATCCAATTGGAAGTTTTTTAAATCGTTATTACAACACCTTAATACAAATATATATATAGTTTATACTGTATAAAGTATACTGTAGAACGCAATAAATGCATTAGTTGACCGTTTAAGGAATCCATTAGGCTTTTTGGTTTCAACACTTTTTGCATTAATTATTGAATTCTTCTCTAATTATATAAAAAATATCTGAAAGAAGCTTGGTTTGTATGCGTCAGACATAAAAAAAGTGTACGTTAGTTTGTATAGTAAACGATTACCAAGAGAGAATATAGAGACGTAACGATGTTCTAAGAACGATTATCGAAATCTTAATTAAAGTAACCAAGTAGTAATTAGTTATTATTACAATATAATTCGGTAAGGTTATGTAATCCTGCTCGATACGCACTACATCTCTTGCTTTATCTTACTGAATCTATTTCTTTCAATTATCTTATCCGAAAAAGGTTGCTCTTTTACTGATATCATTCTGAAGACATCGTATGCAATATCATACGATTAATGAATATTTAAATTTATTCATTAGTTCTATTAATTTCTCAGCTAATCTATTAGAAGAGAATAGTTTGTAGACCTGTTGTTTGGTAGTTTGACAGTGTTTTCCTTTTCTTTGCTCAGTTTGAGTTATATCGATGCACGCTTAACAAGGAAGGTATACTTTTATTGATATTACTATAGAGACTATCCTTTTATTCTTAATAACTGGAAGAAATGGAAGAGAAGACTACGCAATGAAATATAACCTTCTATATTTCATCAATCAGGAAATTGCCTATCTAGGATTTTTAGTGGGGAGTAAGTTTTGTTGCTAGTATAATCATCTAATATTTGGTTCCTGTACGGATTGACTTTGAAATACTATCATCACTACTTGAGGAGCAATGAAGATGAGTTTGTCCCAAAGATTAATAATATTATTCTAAAGCAAACACTATATTCCCAACTATCTAGATATTGCGCAACAAACGTCCTATTACAATGATTTAGCGTCGCTGCCTGCTTTTTATATTGTAGTAAATGGAAAAATATAGTTAATAATTCTCTCTGTTAATGAAGAGAGAATTTCACGCTATTAATGAAAATTAGGAGGCAAACCCCGATAAAGCATTGACCCTGCGCACCTAGGTGGACCTAACTATAATCTATATATACAGTATATATTGTATATAAATCTTTGTTTACTTTACCCTTAAACTAATTAGACCCAACCCTAACTGTTGTAACTGTTGTATCCTTACAACCGCGCGAATGTTTCTCATGAATGCATCCTAATTAACACGTAATAATCAGGTAAGAAGAGAGTATAAATGTCATTTTAGGTAATTGTAACGATAGTAATTATTATAGTTAATTAATTAATTATCGCCAATGCACCAATCCAGATAAAATCTTTATCAATAAAACAATGCAGAGGTAAAAAATTAATGATTTTTTTTTATTTAACATTTTCACTTGACAAAAATTTTGTAATCTAATGTAAAAAACAAACAGAACAGCTCTTCTTTTTATGGAGAGAGGGAGAGAGAAGAGAGGAGGATGAGGAGGAGGAGGAGGAAAGGAAAGAGAAATAAACAGGAGAAAATATAGTCATCTTTTCTTTATGAATGAAAGCTAAAAGTGAAACGTAAGGAAAATGTAGTAATGATTGATGGATAGGTTTAAATGGGGTCAACAATCAACAACAGTAACACATTGCTGCTGAATTGCATACATTTCAATATGTATGTTATAGATGCATGTCTAATAGATATACAGTATATATTAATACATAAATTTATACACACTGTATGTACTAATATATATTGACCGGTAAATAGGTGAGATTCCAACTATGCGTTTAATATTTAATTGTAATAATACAACATTCATAGTTCGAGTTATTTGCATAACGCTAGTATATATATAAACACCAATATACGAATACATAAATATATGTATATATTTATAAACAACTATTATTTATTCATAGTTTTGAAGGTTTCATAAATAAAACTGCTATTGGTCATTGCCAGTTATTTTATTTATTGATTAACAAGTTATTACTGTCTAACTTTCAATATATTCAACAGAAATTGATTTATTTGGAAAAGCTGATAATATTCCAGTATGGTGCCAGTCTTATAAATAGATGGAAACCGGTTCCATTAATATGAATAAATCAGATATTGAATTAGAACCAGTCTAAAATCTCTATCGTTTTAAGCCAAACATTCGATGGTACCCTAAAAAACATAAACAACTGTTATTTGGGATAAATTCGAAATGGAAAATTCCGAAGGTAAGATTATTAGTTATTCTAGTATTTATTCGTTGTAGTTGCAGCAGCTGTATACGAACGCATACGTAAATATATAACAAAGTCATCTCCATCCTATATACAGTATATGTAAATTGTACTGTATATAAGGATAAACAGTATACATATATTCTCTTTACTATACCAAACACGACGGATAAAGAATGAAATTATAAGAAGATTTACAATCTGCCGTGTTTGTACATTCTAATTTAAATAGTATAATCCGTATGTAAAGTTTATATTTATCCAGTCTATCTAGGAAACATACCAACTAGTTTGTATATATAGATATACAAGTATATGTAGAGAAGGAATAGACGTAAATTATTTATTGTTTTTAACTACTTACTTCTACCAAACATTTAAAAGGAAAAGATTAAGAAGAATGAGGAGCAGAACAGAGAGATGCTTGCCCTTTTTTTTTAATTAAAAATGAATAGTTCAAGTAACCTTGGAAACGATTTAATAATTTCAATATTCGAATCCTCCTCCTCTCCTTCTTTCTATTGCTAAATTACCACCTATTTGGGGAACGGATACAAAAAACAACTACAATATAATTTACCTATCTAGATGGAGAGGGAAAGGGAAATCGATACGAAGGGAACTTTATAGACGGTGTAAAAGGAATTATTGATTCTTCATGTAAAATTGATTAATGTAATAACGTATGTATTTGTTGACTTGACAATTCATCATTTACTAATAACATTACAACTTAGAGCGTGTATTGCGTAATAAATTTATAGAGATTTACTTATAATTATCCAATTTTCTGTGTATTCTATCATCAAGTTCAACCGTATTCATAATATCATTTTTTTTCTTATTTTCTCTCTCTCTCTCTCTCTCTCCCTCTCTCTCGCTCTCTTTAGCAAGAAAATACGATAGTGAAGGCGATGATTCGGGATGTTGTGGAGTGAGTAGTTTATACATTCATCCATCCATTACATAATTTCTATTGTTCACAGATAATACTCAAAGTTATTTCATTGGTTTTAATCGTTATCACTTTCCCCATATCAATTTGTATGACTCTGAAAATTGTACAAGAATACGAAAGAGCTGTTATGTTCAGACTTGGAAGGGTTCTACCCGGAGCCAGAGGACCTGGGATATTTTTTATAATACCTTGCCTCGATAATTTTGTCAAGGTTGATTTACGTACAGTCTCCTTTGATGTTCCCCCTCAAGAGATTCTCACCAAGGATTCCGTAACGGTTGCCGTAGACGCAGTTGTTTATTATAGAATATCGAATCCTATGATATCGGTGGTAAACGTTGAAGACTGTTCCCGATCGACCCGCCTCTTATCCCAAACAACGCTGAGAAATATTTTAGGGACAAAGACCCTAAGTGATATATTATCAGAAAGAGAAACAGTTGCCACCAATATGCAGGTAGGAGAAGGGACAGAGATAATGAAAGAAATCTCTAATTAAAATTGGAATAAATTTACTATTCCCTCTCTTCCCCTTACAGAGCGTCCTCGATGAAGGCAAGTCTTTATAAGAGGGAAACGGACCTCTCTTTTCTTGTTGTTTATATAGAATACTGTATTTGTTAAACATTAAACAAACAAACATAACGAATGTTACATTCGTTCTATAAAAATCTATATACAGCGCATAAAGTCAGAATGATTATTTACCCCATTCGCTTTTATATTTAGGAACCGATCCGTGGGGTGTTAAGGTTGAAAGAGTGGAAATAAAAGACGTTCGTCTACCAGTTCAGCTGCAAAGAGCTATGGCGGCGGAAGCCGAAGCAACTAGAGATGCTAGAGCTAAAGTAATTGCGGCCGAAGGTGAACAAAATGCCTCTAGAGCACTAAAAGAAGCGGCCGACGTAATAAGCGAAGCATCGGGTGCCCTTCAGCTAAGATACCTACAAACACTCACACAAATATCGGCAGAGAAGAATTCGACAATAATCTTCCCTCTGCCAATTGGTTAGTCATTTATTTCTATTCAAATATTTATAATCAAAATTCTTCTCTTGTAAGAATTTCCTCTTTTTTGGCGTCAATTTTTCAATCATTTCCTTCTCTATTCCAGAATTGATGAGTGCTTTTATCGAAAGGAAGAAATAAAGCATCGAAATTACTACGATTATATATATATTTTAACTTTCAATTGTCGAGAATCTCTATACGAAAACAAGAGTACATACTAACTACATACTGTATACAGTGGTGTGCGAATGTATGTATGGTATGTATCTATCTGTATGTACCTGTATACTTTTTCTATTTAAGGCCTATATATATATAAATATGTACTGTTGTTTCTTTTTTCCTTTTTTGTTATTCTAGTATTAAATGTACTTTTTTGTTGGTTTTTTTCCTTTTGTTGTTTTTGAGATCTCTGCATTTTGAACAATGTTGAATAGTTTGTTTTTCTTTTTTTCCTCCATTTCTTTAGTTAGTTATGTAAGGGAAAAGAATTAAAACATCTTTCAACATTTGTCCTATAAATAACATACTCTTTTCAAATTTTCAACCATATATGTATATACATAAATATATTAACTTCTACAGTATATACATCTATTGTTGACATTTCTATAAATGTACTATGAATGTATAAGGAAAACAGTTTAGTGTTTGGGAATTTCATCAAAATTTTTGATAATAAACTGCCATCGCTATAATTGAATTAATTATTTCTTACGCAACTTATACTAGACATTCGTCAGGCCCTTTTATCTTGAATTAAATTAAATGAGGAAAGGTTAGAAGGATATAGAAGGAGGGAGGGAGGGATGAAGATTACAGGTAAGCAGGTTTTCTCCTTCTTTTTACCTCCACCGTAAACATTTTCTCATTGTTTTTCTCCCTTTGCAATTATATAATTATTAATTCATTGAAAGTAGTCCAACAATTTTATCACGTTTAGAATAATCAATATCCTCTACCGCTGTCTCTAAGATACTATAGACCTATTATTTATAAATAGGCTTATTTTTAAAACGTTTATAGCATCACTTGGAAATGAAAGGAAAAAGAGAAATCTCTCATCAGGCGAGGTTTCTACTAAATCTATTTATAAAATATAAAATCTATATAACCCCAATACGGTTGTAAAGTATAATAGTACTATCATTTTCTTGATTAACTTTTAATTATCATAACAATATCGATATATGGAAAAAGCTTAATTTTGATGGTGGAAAATAGGCAGGAAAAATTCTCATACCATATGTCTATCGCCAGCCTTTTCAACTTGTTAACCCTAACCCTAACTCTTAGCATAACCTTTACTTAACATTAATTCATACTTTACTTACGAAAGTATGCTCTTCAATAGACTAGAACGATTCTTTAATGGATTTTGATTTCTTTTCTTCCAAAACTACTTATACGGAAGGAGAAATCATGAGTAGTTGTTGAAAATGTAAATATACAATATACTGTATATGTATTGAATGCGTAATTATGATTTTTCAACATTTTATAAACATTTCTCATTTCATGACCAAGACATTCAGTAATCTCTTTTAATTCTTCTTTTCTTCTTCTTCTTCTTCTTCTGATTCTTCCTGATCAGCCGTTAGGCCAATTTTAGTCTGAAAGGTTTTATTCTAGACTAATGACGTATGATAATATAGAAAGGTTACGATTGCCGCCTGACTAGAATGGAATTATGGAAATATGTTCAAAGAAAATCTAACCCTGGAACAAACTCAATGTCTTATTATTCAGTATTTCTGGTAAAATATCTAATGGATTAGTGATTTTAGGCTCTGTTTAAGAATTTCCAAGTACAAAACTAAAATTTTTTTCTTATTGTTAGCCAAGGGCATAAATTCATGAATATTTATGAGATATTAAAGATTACAAGGAACAAGGCAGAAAAAGGTCAATATCGTAGTTTGCGCTCATCTCGTCTGCTCTTCCCTAATTACGTCTCAAAATCGCATAGCTAACCGTGACCTCCAACTATACGTTCCAGACGAATAATTCAACCTTTCCCAGCTGTAATTCGGCACGTATTGCAAGTTTAGTATTGAAAGTATAGCTCTTACATAATGAATTATATTTAACAATATCCGCATATTGCTGATTTAATTGAAAAAAGATCAACTATCTAACAATACACATGAAATATATAGATATACAGTTTATTAAGAATATTCTGTGAATTCTTCTCTTAGCCGCTGTTGCGAAAGAAATTAAACGTTGATCGACTTCATAATGTATGATGAAAATATATATTGAGCAGCATACAATACCAATGTACAGCCTAACCAATCAGCTACATTCCCATTTTCATATCTGCAAATAGAACAAGAGTATAGAACGTAGAGAGAACAATGATTAATTTCATTTCTGATGATTATCCTACTAACTTTGTATCGTAATTTGTAGAACAGAAATGCAGTTTTCCATCCGGACTAGTCCGAAGTTTTACATGAAAATACAAGTGCCAAATGAAATTAATCCAAAATGAGATGAAAACTCCATAATAGATAATGGAATATAATTTCTGTTGAATTGTTGCTTGATATTTGAATAGGGCGAAGAGAAAATCTAGGCTTAGAATTAAAAACGATGTACACAGCGGTAAAACTGCTATCAGGTTCTATCCAGGTAGCCTATTCGTATATATAATAACGATTATAGAATTTTAATACAATTTTTACAATAATAGATTAACTATTACTTACAAACTATCAAAGATGGTCGTCAAGCAAACCTTATGACGAAAATCACTGGAATTGTATTCTTTCTTTATAGTTTATTGTTAATAGAAGGAAAAATATTAAAAGTCCACAAGAAATGTTACAAATTGCAATAAAACAAATTTCAAAATTGATTAAATTCTCTATGATTTTCTTTTGACAAATTTCTCTTAGTTTCTTCATGTTTAACGGAGAAATAAGCCCTATATATTCCGACATTTAGCCTATTCAATTCTTAAATAGAATAATCCGAATATATGTCATGTAAATGAGCTGTGTTGGCAGAGTATAGAAATACGCGTTATTTTTCGAATATAAACAGATATTGGAAATTAGACAGATTGATGGAAACTTTTTAAAAATCGTCTCTATTAATAACAGTTTATCGATTATTGAAAACGTAAAGAATATTGAGAAAATGGAATATAACGAAGAGGAATTTTGCTTAATAACTACACTTCATAAGTTGTAAGTAGTAAACAATTAATATCGAATTAATACGATTACGATATGTCTAATAATCATTACAAAGAAATAATCCTCTCAACTATAAACTGTTACTTATGACGGCAGTCTTTGCATTAAATCTAATGATGAGTATTCAAACTATCCTCTTACACAACACTCGGCTACTGTCTACTTATCGTAAACTAATTGCAACTGGACAATATATAGCCATCGTTCAAATTGGAATTCTCCTCTCCTTTTATATAATCTTTATAAATTGCGTAATTGATGAATCACTTGGAAAGTTGAAATTTTGTCCAAGAAATCAAGTAAAGAAAATGTAGGCTGACAGAAATTTAATATATTCTAATTAAACTGCTTGTTTCGTTTTATTTTTCTTTTATACGCTTGGAGTAGTAGAGGATTTTAAAGATGTATTGCAATGTTTATTCGCCGTCTGCCTAGTAGCTGCCATTTTAGTTTTACATTTTTACTCTACACTGGAAAGGATGAGTAGAAAGCCATGCTCCACTACTTTTGCCACCAATGTGGTTTAAGCCGACATCAGAATAAGGCAATTTCACATTTTTATCAACAATACATATAAATACATAAACAGTAATATCTATCTTTGTGAAACAATGTCGAAACAATGTCAAAAACCGCGATAAGAAAAAAACATTTTTTCTTATCTTATCTCACTTTTTCTTGAACAATTCATTTTCATTTGTTTTAAAGAGACTATGAAGACAAACAACGTGATTTTAATTAATCCATTCATAGATTTTCAATTTAGGAAACTTTATATTTTACATCATTAATAGTTCTATGCTTTATGATATTCCATTCAAATAGGATTGTTAACTTTAACAATTTCATAATCATATATGTGCAAGTTCATTTCATACACTCTCAACAGTAAATAGTCAATTATTTTCCATTCTAATATATGTATTTATTAAATACATTTGACATTCTTATTCAGAATTCGTGAATTAACAGATGGTTTTAACATAAAGATAATCTGATACTCCTCATTCACATTGGATTCTTAAATACATAGCTCTACTATTGTTATTTCAGTGAAATGGTGTGATAAGACTGGATACATATAATGGGAAAATACAGATGGGAAAAGCTAATAGACATTTGCTTCATTTCTTTCCAAAAAGAATAAAGTAGATGGATGGAGAGAATGTGTAAATGTTATTAATAGTGGAAATTTGATCAGTCAAAGTTAAAACAACATAAAGATAAAGCGAAATCTATTATCTGCCATTTCCCATTGAAATTTCAGTATTATAAAAGGAACGGGTTGAATGAACTAATTATCCATTTCTGACTCTTTAGTAGCAGTGTACAAGGAACTACAAATCAAACCAAAAATGAAATTGTTGATTGCTCTCGCCGCTCTCGTTGCTGTCGCTTATTGCAGTAAGTAGTCTCTCTCCCTCTCTCTCTCCCTCTCTCTTACAAACTCTTTGCCTTTTGCAGCCACCACTCTTCCAACCACAACCAGAGCATGGGGATGTCCCGCCGACAACTTTTGCCAACCAGGCAGTCAGATTTGCTGCTGGCACGAGCCAACCGTTTCTGGTTGTTGCAACACCGGATTCAAATGCTGTCCATCAATCAGAGGAGATGAACACGACTGTTGTCCAGTTGACGAGACTGCTTGCCACGAAAATGGTTCCTCCAACTGCTACTACAACATCTTGAAACACGCTTAAACTGCTCTTTCAATTTCAATAAATTTCATTTAAAAATCAATCTCTCTCTTATTTATTATCCACTTTTCAATCATCTTTCTTTTCTACATAGTTCTCTTTGCTGTTCAATCCTTCCTTCTTTTCTTTCGTATTGCCTCTCTTTCTCTAGTTTTCCTCACTTTTGTTTCTTTTCTATCTCTCGTCAATTTTTTTCACCCAAAGCTAGTCCTCTTTGAAAGAGCATTAGGCATAGAGAAAGCATTATGTAGTATTCTAAATTACACATAGAAATACATATGGCAACAAACTCTGAGTATAAAAATCAATCAATCAGAAAATACTGATAATAATTGCTAAGTCAGCTGTTTGTACTCAAGAAAAGTACACGACATTCTTAAAAGAAAATTGGCAAATATTTAGCTTAGGTTAGCATAAAAATTTGATTTATTTGGAATTTGAATACGAATACGAAACTAATTGAAATGACTTTGTTTATAATTCTGAAAGAATGAATTAATTGGACGGTAAAATAGAAATTGGAATGTTTAGTTTTTTAAAAGTTCGTTTCTTAATTAAAATTGTATCTTTAATAAATGAAAGAAATTACAATTTTTCATAAAAATTATCTCTTAATTTCAACATTTCAACACGAAAATGATTAGGTAGCGATTATACTGTAGATACTGTATGGATGTAATAATATATGTATATATATATATATATCCACGCTTGATAAGATCTAATACAAAAAAAATACCTTAAATAGTACACAAGGTAAATGTTTCTGTCAAGATAGCTTGTCCTTGACACAACTATTTTTATTTAGTACAATGAAATATCAATGGAGACTATTCGACAAGGTTAAATCTAAAATTAAGATTGAAAAGGGACTATAGAATATACCAGACTGCTATTTTGATAAGAAATAATATTGTTATCGATTTACTTAGTCAAATAACAAACAAGTATTTCTCTTTGTTTGTTTGTTTTCAAATTTACTAATACGTTTTAATCGAGTTTGTCAAACCCTATTATCGTATTATAGCTGAAATATGCAACAAAAGCACTTTCTATATTAATACATATTTCGTCAAGATATTTTGTGTATTTTTGAAAAAATAGTGCTAGAGAGATAATAGTCGTTATATCATCATGCTACCATGACAATAACTCGGCCTATAAATAACAAAATACTGACAGGAGCGTGAATTTTAAGATGGAATTATCTACTGAGAAACAGATTATGATTTAGATAGGATTCTTCTTAAATTAATAGAACTTCATTAAATTTCACATTCCTCACATTATATATACTATATATCCGTTACATACTGCCGTCGTATGTCTTAGCTACCTGCTCCTCTACCTCTTTAATTCTTTAAATGACTACTCGATTTTTCAATTAATCAGCCGCTATTATGAATACAGTCTTTCCAAAGTCTTTTAAATATGCTTTACACCACCTTTGGATAAGGATTAATCGTTAAGTAAGCAGCGTCCGTGTAATCTGTCTACTGATATTACTTTGACAAACTCGGAAAAATTGCTTCGAGCAGAGGATTATTTCGTCTCATTTTCAAACAACTCCAATACCCAATTTCTTCCGACAACCTCTCATTAAATCCTCCTTAAATCCAAGGCTTTGTAGACGGTTTCGTTCTATCCGTCAAAGAGTAGAAAAGTGTCCATCTTGTTAAAACTAACGAAATCTATTGGATTTATGATATTTCTATCGTAAAATTAAGCTTTAGATCATCTAGTATAAGAAATAGAGACGTCTGAACGTCTTTTTTTGATATATAGACAAAAAACAAAACTTGCTTTGAAATATGCAAATATAAAGAAGAAAGTAGGCCTATAAAAGTACAATTTCCTCCACACACCACTTCGAATTGATAATAAAAATAAGACTACCACTGAAATCTTAGTTGCAATAAAAATGAAATTTTAATAAAAATGGAATTTTTATTAAAATATACTTGAATGAATTATCTTTCTTTAATTAGAGAAAAAAGCGTGATTCTCTTCTTCTTCTTCTTCTTCTTCTTCTTCTGAACAGTGCTCTCTCTCTCATCCTACTTATCCGATGGGAAAAGAGGAAAAATACTCAATGTCTAATAATTTAATGTTAATAATTTTATGGACGTTTAACAAAGTTACTTTTGTTTCATCATTAAAACAATTCAATATGTCGTTATTAACGGAAACAGATGTAGAATCTCTGATAATCTTTTAATAAAACTATCCATTAATCAATCAGTTAATCAATCAATTAGGGTTAATCCTAACCCTAGTTACTGTATGTTATTAAGCGAGATAAAATGAGATAAACATAGATTCTTTATCATTGTTTTCCATACAAGACTTATCAACAAGGAATTCTTCAATATCTAAACAAGGTTGAGAGAGGGTTTTATCCAATTGTATATCATATATGCTCTTTGGAAAGGATTGAAAATTATTGCGAAATGTTGAATTTTGACAATTTCTACGCCGAACTATACCCATGCAAATATTCTGTCAGTAAGTAGAACGATCTATATGACGTCATTGTTTCTTATTGAAAGAAAAACATGTATAAAACAATATACAATGTAAAATAAATACAAACAAACAAACCAATACACAGATCAATGGTATGAGAAAGTTGATGATGCTTTTATGTAAGTGTAGTAATATGTATTTGTATTTAGTAAATACGTTCATATACCAAACAATCTCATCTTGTTGTTTGTTAGTTTTAGAGAGTCTACCGACAAAGTGAAACTACGTTTAGCCTGTTTGAAATGCTTTAAATTTACAACAGGTATGGTTTGTCCAAATACGGACAAAATACAATTTATTGAATATTCATAACATTTCAGTGCCTTTTGGCCTTTATATAAGAAATAATGAATACTTAATATGTCTTCGAGAAAATAGACAAAATTACTTTTATAATTCTGAAGAAACAATATGCAATAGAGTAGAATTCATCTATCCAAAAGAGCAATCATTGCGTGTTATTTCAAAGAACAACACCAACAATGAAAGATTTCATTTCTGTCGGATTGAAACGTTCAAAAGTACAATTCAAATCTTTCTTTAAAATATTCAATTTTGTTAATAATTCTATTGGTGAATTTCAGATTTACCTGTTGATAACTTTTATATCATTAAGATTAGCTCACAAAAACATCATACATTCTCTTATAGTAAACAACCTGTAAGACATTTACCCATCATTAACGAACAAGAAGAATGGAATCTTCCAAATAGAGTGTGTCAACAGGTGGACAAGAATACAAGACCAGACTATAACAATCTTATTTTACAAGCCACTGCAGCAACAGATGTTGAAACTAAATTCATACTTTTCTTTATTCTCTTCTTCTTCTTTTTTTTTCTTTCATTTTTTACAGATAAACTATTGCACAGATGATTTTCTTATTCATAATCAACCGTTAAAAGTTTGTCTAAAATTCCTCTTCTAAGGAATAACTGGGCGTAATATCCTTTACAGGTTCTCCTTGTTCATTGTCCAATCTTACTGGCCAATTTCACATTTGAATGTATGATAAGAAATCCGTATAGAAAGGATAAAAAATTCTATAGCATGCATTTAAGATGTAGCAAGCCGGAAACAGATGATGAAGGTTCGTATTATAGAAATAGATGTAATTATAATTTTCTTTCTATTACGTAATACTACTAATACAAAGGTAATTAGCCAATAGACATCTATTTCGACTGAATAATGGTAATAGAAAGTTTCTGTTCAACGATAATATGACAGGAAAGAGTGAAATTTGGGGAAATCTTGAAACTTTTGTGAATAATAAAGAATGGATAAAATTCCATATCTATTCATTTAGATACAAAGAGATAAGATTAACTTGTAATTATTTCGGATTCAAATCTGGTCTTTTAGCAATTAAGCCTAAAAGATTTTTTAAGAATAACTTTCGTAAATTTCTTAAATGCGAACGAAATCATACGCAACTCTCTGATTGTTTGATGGATAATAGGAATAGAATGATTAACAGGTAAATTAAGAAGGAAAGATCTACGAACTACGTTCAGCTATATCCTTTCAATTTCTTTCTTTATAACAAATAGTAACCCTAGAAAAAGATTTTTAAACATTTTGGATAAGAGTCTTATCATTAAATGTAATAACGATGAATTCGAAGGTAATACGTGTAATCGTCCTTTTCAAACTTTACGTTTATGTTTTTCATTGAACAAAGAGCAGCCTGTTCATACGAAGACGCTTATAATATACTCGGTGTATGTTATAAAAAGTTCAAAAGTAGAAAACCTAGTTCTCCACTAGTTGCTAAGAGAGAATGCGAAAAAAAAAATATGACATCGCTAGACGACGTATACGATTTTAAAAGTCAAATTATTGAAATTCTTAGAGCTCTCTCCATGGAACCAAGTATAATATATCAGTTCGTTGTAGGTATGTTATCCTTTTTAGCTATGTAACTTCTTACAAGCCTACCTAGTCACGTGTTTAAATGTCTATTATTCCTTCTTTCAAGCGCTTACGAAGGATAAAAGAACCAATAAAATACTATCTCCTCTAAGACGACCTCTAGAATTTATACCACCGGACTTTATTCCCAGAGTTAGAAGAGTTTCTTTTCAATTATTCCTACTAGTATCAATAATATCTCTACTATTCTCTCTCTCTCTCTCCCTTCGTTAGGAAGAACTTGCCAAAATGATCTCGAACAGAAAGCCGAAAGCATTAATGACAGATTTTTCTATTGTTCTGAAATATTTTAAAGAAGAGGATATGTGTTTGGAATTCTATAATGGTACAAATCCTTACCGCTTTCATAGCCTTACTTATCGAACCTATAGATCTTATAGAAGAAGATGTCAAGTTTTTACCTCGATTATATATTTTTGTCAGATGATTCCAAGTTTGGCTATTCTGTATAAAAAACATACAGCTAGAAATACATTCATACTCTCAAAAACAGGGGAAAAATACCTATTGTCTTTAAATTGGTCCTGGAGCGACGAGCTAGCAACTAGGAAGTATTCAAATTGTGGAAAGAATCCCTTAAGTTGTACTCCGCAGAGTATAAAACAATAGAGTTCTCTTTCAATTCGTATTGAATGAATATCTTTCATTTTTCTAAATAGATTTCTTATTTAAATATACAAACAATTTTACAAAGTTCTTCGAATGCCCAAAAACAACTTTCATCTGTGCGAAACAACGCTTTTGTATTAATAGCTTATACGTTTGCGACGGAATTTACGATTGTTCAGATGCTTCAGACGAAATCAACTGTTCATATCATTATTTCTATTGCGATATCGATGGTAGAATACCGATACAGTTTGTTTGCAATTTTGTCTTTGATTGCGATGATAGGTCGGATGAAAAACACTGTGGTTTGTTAAATATATACACAAAGCTTGTAGAAGGGATGAGATGAAACGTTCCTACGAGGACAGATATTAGTGCAGGGACTCGAAATATCTATAAAAAACCAACTGTTGGATTTAGGGTTAGGGTTAGGGTAACGTTTTATCCAGCATCCTTTATCGTATATTAATATGCATATATTTATTCATATACAAAATACTTTGATTTCAGTTGTCTATGGCGAAAGAATCGACCAAACTTTGTAAGGAGACGTATTCAGTTGGAAATAAGAGAACTCGTACTCGTTTTTAATTTATCTAACTATGCCGAAGAGTTGGAGTTCTCTTGTTCAGATCCAGCCGACCTTTTAAATAATTTTTTAACAATTCTCATCTACAGTTTAAGATATGGGTACGAAGAATGCCCACAAAAAGGTTTCGTACATTCAAAACAGCATAAACAATATATAAACCAGCATTTGAGCTGTAACAATGAAAGAAATTGTTTGGTAGAAAATGAGGAAGAGTATTGCGGACAGTTGAAAAGTTTGTTGAATGAAACGTCATTTTATCTAGTTTTTAACAAAATTAATTCAATGTCACTTCCTTAGCCTGTAATATAACTTATCAATATCTATGTAGAGACAATTGTTTACCAATTGAAAAGAAATGCGACTATTTCGCTGATTGTCCAGGCACAGAGGAAGAAAATTCAAAATCCTGCCAAACTGATGGTTATTCTTTTATTCTTTCTTTCTCTTTTAATATTATTCAAATAGGTTTTAGGCAATTCTTTAAAGATGCATTTTTCATCCAAAAATTCAATAAGACTTCGATGATAAAATCATATTGCTTTCTATCAAAGAAAGAAAGAGTTTATCGTTGTCGCTTCAACAGGAGCTGGACAGAACAGTTAGCTCATTCAATTTTTGACGATAATGTCAAGTTCAATGATTTCTACGTGTTTTTAGATTGCAGAGAATTACTGGAAGATTCATTAAATTTGCCAAACAACTCTTGTAAAGTTAACTAAAATCTCTCTTTCAGAATAAAGACGTTATCTTTATATTGAACCTATACAGACGCGTTGATAGATCACTCGTCATGGCTAGTGAGAAGGATTTACATCTCAATTTCGACATTTATCATCAATTCTACACTGCAATATTGCGGTAGAAGAGAGATATTTTTTCTATAAAATGGTTATTAATCTTTAGTAATCGTTAATTATATTAAAACAGGGAAGGTAGACACATTTCGAGATTTTTCTATCCTACAAAGTGCCGCCTCTTTTACGATTCAAATGGGAATATGAGAAATAGATTATTCTTTCCTTTCTACGATCTATCCTATTGCGATGAATTCGAATGTCACGTTGGCGAATATCAATGTAAATTTCATAAGTATTGTATATCAGTTGAACAGATATGCGATGGAATAAATCATTGTTGGTATGGAGACGATGAAATTAATTGCGGTATACTGGATGATAATAAAAGAGTTTATCCCCAAAATCTTGAATCTAATATAATATACTGTATTCCTCATTTATAGAAAACTTTCAACCTCCTGGATTTTTCTTATGTCGGAATAATTCAAAAGCAATTCCTACAACAAGAGTTTGCGACAAATATGTGGATTGTCCGAACGGAAGTGATGAACTCTTTTGCTTTAATAATATAGAATGCAACAAAGAATGTACTTGTCTGCTCGACTACGAAATGATCTGTATAAGGGAAAGGCAACAATCGATATTTGACCTTGACTGGATTAGAATTCATCATTGGTTTAGAATAGTTAAGATTTTCAATCATCAACTATTTTTCAAGCAAGCGAGATCTAGTATTATCGTTCATTTAACACTTGAAAATTGTGGTCTAAATAACTTTGAAAAGTTCTTCTACACACCAAATGTGGTTCATCTTCATCTTTACAAAAATGATTTTACATCCTTGAAATCTTTGGGCAGGAAGAGTCTGCTGCAAACTTTAAACATATCCGGAAATCCGTTAAATCATACCGATTTAGCATTTGGTAATCTAACTAGACTAATCTCTTTAGATATATCTTATTCAATGATTAGCCAATTGAGAAGAGATCTCTTTCAAAATCTACGAAATCTAAAATATCTATTTATAGCTCATTGTAAATTACATCTAATTGAAGATAATCCATTGAAATCATTAGAATTCCTTAATGAATTACACTTGAATAATACAGATTTTCCAGTTCTTTCTCATCTCACAGATTTGAACAATCTAAAGAATATTAGGAAAATCTTTTCTAAATATTACATGTTTTGTTGCAAAAGTCTCTTCTATAGGCCTAATTTGATATGTCGACCAAACTATTCGGTATTTTTAACATGCTATAACATCTTCTTAAGGAATTCTTCTATAGCTTGTTTCTTTATCTTTGGACTCTGTGGAATATTTGGAAATATTTTACTTATAATCTTTAAAATTTTGATGTATTCAAGATCATCCCATCTATTCTCATTATCGCTCACAGTCGGTTATCTAACAAAATCCTTATATATATTGATAATACTATTTTATAATTTGAAATTTCAATCTAAATATTTCGAATACGATGAAAAATGGAGGAAAAGTTTATTTTGCAAAAGTTTAGGTAGCATGCTAACATTTTCATTATCATTTTGTACTGGAATGCTACTTTTAATTAGTTTGGATCATTTTTTCGCCATATATTTCCCATTTAAGAAATACTTTAATAAATTTGTAGTTCTTGCAGCAATTTTTGCAGTTTCTCTCGTATCCTTTCTATTTCCGTTGTTTGGTCTATTATTAAATGAGGTATACAGTATAAACGGGGGAGGGCAGTGGGAGAAACAAACAACCCTTATTAGGGTACAGGGGTTTTTGAATGTTTGTCGCCTCCCTCTATCCAAATTGTATAATTGTAAACTGAGACATTTGAAATATTGAACTTAAACTTGTTTATTGCTTTTCTCTGTAGGACTACTTTTCAGATTCACCTCTTTGTTTCAAATTCTTTGTTAGAAACGATAAAAGGGCGAATGGTTGGCAGTTGATTTTCTTTAATTATACCATCTATTTCTTTCTATTAAACCTTTTAATATGCTTTTTTTATTTCCTTATTTGGAGAGAGTTGTATATTCATAAAAAAGGAATTAAGAAAGATATGAACATGTCGATTAAAATGAGTTTGTCACTTCGTATCTTTGCTACTTCTTTCGTTAATTTTCTCCATTGTATACTCTATTCATTCATAGGTGAACGATGGAATATTTCTACGCAAAAAGACTAATTAATTACCATTTTTAGGAATAAAAGCAGCTTTTTTTAAACTCGAATTAAACTACAAACAAGAACTCATCTCCCTCGGATTATCATTGTTTCTACATTTAGTTCTTAATCCTATAGTACTTTCGTACGGCGAATGGAGAGATTACGTTTCATTTAGAAGAGTGGCGTTGAATAGACGAAGGGAAATTTTTAAAAATAAAATCATTCAAGAAGAAGCTGAAAAATGTAGATAAAATTTTCAAATGGGTTCTTTGATCTTTAAGAATTTTGCAGTCGGACAAAAAACATTTTTCATTATTACAGATTTGCAGTTTACTGTGAAACAAATTGAATTCAATATTTGGCCATTTAAAATAGAAACAACTTCCAATAGCATCATTTTAAATGAAGAATTCTTTATGAATTTCACTTATTATAAATGTATTGAATGCATTCTTATTGCATTGAAATTCTCTCATCAGAATAACTTTTCTCCTAATGGAAAAATACAAATAGAGCATATACATGTTCAAGTTTGTACACATAACTAATCCACTATGATTATGAAATGGAGTGAAATTCATCTTTTTACAGGATGGAAAATTCTATCTATCATCGACGAATTACGTTTTAAAGAATGATATAAAGGAAAAAGATGATATTCTCTCTTTTGGATTATTAGTTCGAAAATTCCTTCAACAGAAATTCTTGTTAACAACAAATTGAATTGATTTATGAATAGATAATCTCTATGATTCTATTAAAATAGCTTTCTTTTCTTTAAATGACCTTATTAATGTTCTAGTTTAGTAAAAGTTGAATGACATTTTGTAAGTAAAGTACAAAACTTCAATAGGCTTTACAGCCTATTAAATTGAACGGGGCGAAGCGTCGGTCAATTCGTTCAATTCGTTCAATTCGTTCAATTCGTTCAATTCTCTAAAATAGCAGTCTATTGAAATATCTCGTTTTGTCTTTTTTGTAAAATACAACTTTTACCAGTTTTTTTACTTATACTACCTTTATTATCGTTAACATTTATTATTAGAATTATGGCTATTATTTCGTTGAAAGTTTTATCATTGGAGACGATTTTAGAAAATTTAAAACTGTTGGCTATTCAGTGTTTAAGTAATTGTATTCTCTTACCAGTTCAAATAAGTAATGAAATATTTGAATACATTCATTCAAGAGGAGTTATATTAGGAGGAGAAGAAGTTGTCTTCTTCTCTTCAAAAGTTTCTTCTCTTACGAGTATTAAACTCGTCGAAGGGCAATTAATTAATATTCAAAATTATGATTTTCTAAAGAATCATCAAATTGAAAGTGTAATTTATGATTTTTCGGATATAAAAGATTTTATATTCCTCATTGATCCTATTTGTTTGAAAAGTTTATGGATAAAAAATGGATTAAAAAGTGAAAATTCAATCAAATCTGCAGTTAATTTCATTAAAAAATGTGAAAATCTACAATCGCTCAATCTTAATTGTTACGATGATGGAATTCTAATTAAGAATCTATTCATGGAGACAAAATTCTCCGATTATTCTTTAAAAACGCTTTGTTTACATAGCCAAACAACGGAATTGTACGAATTGTACAACGATAATCTTCGAGAAATGTTGGAAAATTGTCAAAACTTGAGTGAAATACAAATAAATTACAATGTTTGGAAGCAAATAGAGACAATTTGTCAAGGTTTACAAACTTCCTACAGCACTTTATCGTCGATTGATATCGAATTCAATTCGTTTACTAATCGGCAGATAATCGCTTTGGCGAATTTACTTGATAATTGTAGACAATTAAAGGTATTTAGATTCAATTATCAAACGAATAAGAACGGCGAAAATACGACGACGAAGAATGATGATATTCTGGAAATTGATAGAATTCTTAACGGTCTTGCGAATTCGTGCGAAAATCTTCAAGAAATCAGCTTAATCATTAACGATTATACATTCAAGGAAAACGATAGAAATTTAATCAATTTGTTGAATAATTGCAGAAATTTGCAAACAATTCAACTATCATTCAAAGATGTAGACATTTATAGTAATTTGGGCAAAATGGCGCCATTTTCTAAATTGAATAAAGTCAATGTAAAATGTTCAAACGGCGAAGAATTAAAGTACGTTGGAGATTTTCTATCAGTTTGTCATCATATACAAACAATTGTAATAGATATTAGCTTCGATGTGGGCAGATACCTTAAGGGTATTTGCAATAGTTTGACAAATTCTTGTCGTACACTTACAAACATTAATCTTTCCGGTTTATTGATGGCAAACGAACATATGCAACATTTTGCAGATTTGGTAATGAATTGCAACAGCTTGGAATCTATTGAACTTACTTTGGCCGAGATTGGAAAAGAAGCTGAAATGATTTGGAATAGTTTAACTCCGTCTAAGAATAATCTGACTAATTTGAAACTATGCGTAGCTTTCTCCATAAATACCAATGACGCTAAATGCTTGGCTCAATTCCTTTACTGTTGCAGATGTTTACAAAAATTTGAATTACTTTGCAATAACGTTAGAGAAACTGCAATTATTGAAATTTTGAATGGTTTACTACCGTCTTGTCAAACGTTGAAATATCTTAAAATACCACTTCCGTTCGACAGAGATCACGGTTTTCATTTAGTCAATTTTGTAAGTCGATGTAAAATCCTACAAGAGTTGAATATTCTTGGAAATAAACAATTGTTATCTCAAGCAAATAAATTTACAAATGCAATCAGAAATTCATGCCGAAAAATTACTAGAATGGAATTTTTCCTATTGGAAAGTGGACTTTTTTCAGTCTAATTTTACAAACAAACAAAACAATACACGGCCCTTTCTCTTTCTCTAATTGGTTTATATAGTTTTTATTAGGAGATGTTTTTTTTTTCTATTGCCAATAACAATTCTTCTTTCTTTCTCTCTTCCTATCTGTCTGTCTGTTCGAAGAAATCGTCTCATTGTCTATTTCATACAGTAATCTAGTTTAATAGATAATAATTTTTCAACACATATCATTTATTGTTTGTTTTGTTTGCTTTTGGAATTTTGTTTTAAATATACAATACTATCTTCTATGACAGTTTGTAATAGATTGTAATTGTTATTCATTTCATTTTTTCCTCTTCCTCCTCATCCTCCTCCTCCTCCTCGTTCTCCTTCTCTTTTAGGAATCTCTTGAAAAACAAACCAATGTGAAAAATTTCTCTCTTCTCTATCAATTCATTCAAAGCGATAAAATTGTTTGCAATTACGTAATATTCCTTTTTTCTTTTCTGTTAAAAAACGACACATTTTTCATCTTCTTCTTCTTCTCTTTCCTCGCTACGGTAAATGAAAAGATAAAGAAGAAAAAGAAAAAAGAACAACCTGAAAATGAATGTTTCTCACATTCAAATGAAAATCAAATGCCAAATTTATTTGATGAATAAATGAATAGGCTTGTAAAATATTCCTAAAACAATTAATATATTCAAAGTTATCTTTCAGCCTATCCATCAGCTCAATAGATCTCGGTTTCTTTATGTATTCATAATAGACAACAATATGATTAGAGTAGGCTTCCTCTATGAGTATGTTAACTAAATATCAATAGTAAAATATATGGCTATGTTTAGTAGATAAGAAACGAATATATAGAAAATTGCGAATACAAACATAGACGGAAGCATTCTTTTCTCTTTTCGTCAATTAGAGATTGTCTTGAAAAAAGAAAATTCTTTTATTGAGAGAGAGAAGGGGAATTGAAAGAAAACAAACTTTTCCTGCAATTTAATAGCCTTCTTCTGCTTTCGATAAAATGATAATTCGGAAAAAGTATATATCATTGGATTCAATATTGAATTGAATGGAACGAGAAAAATGATGACTATAGCGTAAATATCATTGTTTAAATGTAATTCTTTAAACGTTGATATTATCCCTAAAAGTGAAATTGGAGACCAACATAATAAATTCGTTAAAACGATTATTATAATTGTTTTTGTTAGTTTTAATTGAGTTTTTGCGTGCGTTTTTGAATCTTTCCAAGCCATCATTGATTTCCTTACTTTCATTAATAAACTGGTATAGAATCCGCTATTAATAATACTAATTAAAAGTGTAAATACTCCGAAAATGAGGAAAGAAAAGATCCAGCCTTCAGTCTTTTCTCCGCCCACTTGAATATTAAAACAGATTGGTGACGCCGAATAGAAATTCTAGAAATAAACAAACAAACAAACGTAAAATTTCCAACAGAAACGCTATTCAAGCCTTTTATAAACCTTAAACATTAATAATGGTACTATGCCGATTAGCAGGGAAAATGATACCAACAATATTGTCATATGATAAGCGTACTTTGTTAAAAAAGATGTATAATTTGGACGGAGGATGACTCTATACCTTTCCAAAGTTAACAGTAATATACTCAAAGACGACATAACTAGTGAGCTGGTCATTAAAACTCCAACAAATTTACACAACCAGAATGCTTTCCATTTTTCTTCATTTTCCAAAAATGTTCCATAAAATTTTAAATCTACGCAAGCGATTACCAGAACATAAAATGATGTGAAAGTATCGCCAAACACCAGACAAAGTCTATAGGATTTCGAAGGTCTGTCCGAACTTAATATACAATATATTGATATACAATTCAAGCATACTCCAACAATTCCTATCAGCCAAAATGATACGCGTAGAAAGGTTGAACTCAATAGGTTGGAACAAGTTTTAAAATACGAAGAATCAGGCCTACAAGTGACGTCTTTTCCCAAAAATTTCCAAGTTAAACAGCAAAGTTTATAGCTGTTACTAAATAGTCTTGTCAAACTTTCAAGGTTCCTAACGATATAGTAGCTACTTTCCGATGGAAATTTTGTACCATTAAGATGAAGTTCGTTCAAAGAGGATAAAGAGTTGAATGATAATTCTGAAATAGCATCTAGGCGGCAATTCGTCATTCGAAGAACTTTTAGCAGAGTTAACCTCTTGAAACTCTCTCTACCTATACTAATTATCTTTGTTTCTGAAAGGTCAAGGTAATAGAGATGTTGAGAAAATGAAATTATTGTTGAATTTATCGATTGTAAAGGATTTCTAGACAAATCCAAATATTGTAGAGCCAACGTTGAATTAACGTTGAAAAACGATAGGTTATAAAGATAATTATACTGTAAAGCCAATATAAAAACATTCGGAGCGTAAATGGTCGATTCTTTTAACAAACGATTTCTAGTTATATTTAGAATTGTTAAAGAATAGGCTTTATGAAAATTTTCCATCATAAATTCTCCGTTTAATTCAATCTTTTTATATTTTTCGTTATAAATGAATATCTGCTTTCCCATTTCAATTCTACATTCAATTTCGAATGGAAGAGATTGACGACTTTTACACGAATCTGACGCTGTTATCAACGAATTATAGCAGTATAATTCGTCACTTCCTCTTATACAATCCTTAATTCCGTTGCAGAGATTCTTATTCGGCAAATATAAATATTCCATTCTACATTTGAAAAATCCTTTCAATACAAAATTCTCTTGAAAAGAGAAAAGGGGAAAGGATGGAAGGAAAGAATTAATTCTTATCTAAAGAATAACAAGCAGTTGAAAATTACCGCAATTCTCTTCGTCGTCTTCATGAAAACAATGATTTATTCCATCGCAAATGAATCTAATAGAAATACAATTATTCGCTATTTGACACTTGTATTCTCCTCTTTCGCAATTTGTTCTTATCGAACTGATTAATGGTAATTCAGTTGTTCTATTCCCATATACATTATAGACTTGAACAATCGAATTAGCTTCATCGTATATATAACCTTCTTCCATTTCAAGTCCAACACGCATATATTTACAACTAATCGATTCATTGCATAATATTTCAATTGGAAAGCAAACCTTTTGACATTCGAATTGTCTGATTGGATTACAATCTAAGCGGAGAATTTTCTTCTATTAATTCAATTATACTGTTAACTTGTTGTTGTTTACTTTACTTTGTCTATATTTAACGTCAATAGAATTCTTTGAATAGCAATTCTCATCGCTTAAATCCAAACAGTTTCTCTTCTGATCGCATACTTTACTCGAATGAACGCATTGGCCACTCTTACACTTTCTATAGAATAAGATTAACTGTTCAATTTGATTGATTTTTCTATTAATCTCTTAATCTCTACCTTTCGTCTTTATCGCATTTACGCTGCTCTGCAAAATTCATCAAACATTAATTGGAGGACGACAGGTAAAAACATCTGAAAAATAAAAATACCGCAATTTTCTTCGTCCTCGTTATAAGGACAATCTTGGTGATAATCGCAAACTAACGTATAACTGATACTTGTATTCGAACGATGGCATTGAAATTGCGATAGAATAGAATTATTACAATTCTCATCTTCGTACGATGGACAATCGTAAATTCCATCGCACAAATAAACAATATTTATGCAAATTTCATCTTTCGAACAATAATAACCGTTACTCGAACACTTGAACTTTTGGAATTCAAGTTTAAAATTGTTGAAAGTATCTTTTCGTTTCATTTCTTTTCAAGGAAAAAAAGAGAAAAGTTTGTTTTTTTAAAAAAAAGAAATAAAAGAATTCTTCCAACTCGTAGCATGTTGACAAAAATAAAGCCTATTCGGTTGAATATTACACTGTTTCGCCAATTTAAAACGATACATTTCCATACATTTTGAAGAGAATTGAATAAAATATGGTTTTAATTTATGAAAGTAATTGTTAAAGCATGTCTTGGAGTTATTGGCAAAATAGAACATTGGATAGTTTGCGTAAGTTACTAAATTCAATTCGTTTCTTTTATTCAATACTCGAGTATGAGCTAAACGGATATAGTATTAATAATATTGTATAGACTGTATATTCTGTATACTATAATTTATATAGTTTATCTATTAATCTCTTACAAACCAGTGACATACTTGACCAATCTTGTAGTAAGGCCTAATATTCGAACGCCAGTGTTGAGAAAAGTAATTGTAAAACCTTTATAGTGTGTCGGTATATCTGCAAGGTGTAGATCGTACTCTTGGCAACTCTCTTCCATTTGTTGAACGGTTAATTCTCTATTGGAAATGATGGACAAATAGCAAACGTGATGTATGGAGAAAGTGTTGTTTCCTTTGCAAGCGATAGACGTAGATGGAGCTAAAGAAGGCAAAAAATGGCGATCGACTATTAAAGCTCTTATTCTATTCTAATCCAAGATTTTTAACCATAATCCTTTGCCTGGTAGCATTTAACATGTAGTCTGGGTACCTTTTTTAATTGATCAGGCTCTAATGGGTCTGTTGAGCTGCGTGCAATACAATTGATCGAATTAATTAATGGTACATAATACAATACAAACTGATTATATACAATATACGTGATATCTTACTAACACTCTACTAAATGTACAATTTTTCAAGTTTTCTCCATCATTCGCTCTGCAAACTAATGACCCATTTCTATAACAGATAAAAAATCAATAATATAAGTTATTAGTCTGCTTATTCACATTGATTAGCTCACTTATCATAATCAAAGAACGAATCGCTAAAGAGATACTCTGAATAGACGTTTTCATCGCCATTCTGTACGACTGTACCGTCTTCAAATCCATAATATAGACAAACAGCCTTTACGTCTCTAGATGATACGGGAAAGTAATAAACCCAACCGATGTCGCCTTCGAACCTTTGAAAGGAACCTTTGTATTCGGAGTACGAATGATTCTTATCTAATATAAAGCCTTTATGATTTATCAATCTAACAAGAAAACCTGAAATTGATACAACAAGACTGTTGAACTGTATAAAATAATAGGATATAATTCTATCAATACCGATATCGTTCATATCGTCCGAACAGTCCAAGAAAAGTAAAAGTACAAAAGCTTTACTATAGCTCTCCGTAGATCGATTATAATCGTATTCCATAAAACATTTAGATGTTGTATCGTTAATTTGAGTAAAACTCGTACAACCTCCGTAGAAATAAATCTGGATAGAGACAGAGAGAGAGAGAAATGAAATCTTAAAACTTCTAAGCAAAACTCAACAAACAAACCTCTGTAAAATTACTCTTAAACATTTTATAACTTTTTCCAATCATCTTCCGTCCGGCATTCATATTAAAATAATGACAGATTAAACTCTCATAATCCGCTTTAGCGTAATAGTTAACGCTTGAAAAAAATGGTGGCAAAATTCCGTATGATTTAGACACGAAATAGATGTTTGTCAAGTTGATTAATGAATTATACATCATTGAAAATAGATGAGTTTGATTTGGATTATTATGAAATTTTTCAATAGTTAAATCTAAATAGCATTTTAAAAGAGAAATTGAAAACGCACGTGCATAAAAACTTGTCGAATAACCCTAACCCTAACCCTAACCCTAACCCTTGGTTGTGAGATTAATTGTTGACAAGCTTATCCGTCAATCTCCTAATATAGACAATTTACCTTCTATCTCTCCGTATTGACATTCCATTACGTAACCAAGTTTTAACACATTATCCTCTTGTTCTATTTGGGTAAAGTTTATTACCAATCCATTAATAGAGTTGATTTTACAATTTGCATATATGGTTATGTCTGAATGATAAATGAAAAACTCTGATCTCTTGCACAATTCTCTCCTAAATTGTTCACTTTCGGCAATATGAAAGTTATATTTTTGGTATCTTAACAAAATGAAAGTTTTGTACGAATAAAAGTCTAAAAAAATGATAGAAATATTTCAACTTGTGATAAATTTCAATAGGAATTTACAAGGAGTTTTTCTCTTAAAGCATTTTAAACAAATTCCCATTTCTATTGTTGTACCATTCTCTAAAATACTATAATACTATTAATGTTATTACTATCAAGAATTCTAAAGTTTGGCAAAACACTCGCAATTTTGGCGTTTTTCCTTCAAAGTTGATTTGTATAAATTGACTGGGTTTTGATAAAAGTTGACAAGGAAACGCTAAAGAATGAATATTATCGTATCCCATATTATAGCACATAAATGTTAGATTAGCTCTATAGTCAAAATATTCGACTGGTCCCTTAAAACCAATTGGATAAGTGCCCTGTAAAGTTTTCATATAGACGAGTCCGCTGACAAACGTATGCGTTGAAGTTTGTATTTCTAAATGAAATTGCTCTCCAACCTCTAGAAACATCAATTAGTTAGTTTGTCTTAATATACACAAAACATCTACCATTCTTATTACAATCGTAATTCGGAATATATATAATGTTTTCAACGCTTTTGAAATAATCATATGGACTTTGTCTTGAGAATATACAATCATATCTTCCCTTCTCTTCAATTATAATTGTACAATTTTCTAGGAAATATATCTGTATGTATTTAACACGATGATAAAATTGGCTAAATGATCAGCTGTAAGAAACAACAAGAACAACACCTCTTCCTGAGATAATAGGGATAATTCGTAAAGGCTTCTCTTCGAATTTCCCTTCAATGAATTATTGGATAGAGATGAACAAATCATTTTTGGTGGTACATTATCCAAGTCTGAAGAGCTACCGAAATATGGTGGCAGAATTCCGTGAGTGTTTGAAGAGATATAGACATCAGTCTTATTCAGAAGATACGGATAAAATTGGGAAAAAATGAATAAAGCTTCTGCGTTTGAATCCAATTTCTCAATTTTTATATCTGAAAGATTAAAACAGATGAAATGTTTCATTTTTCCTTTCTCTTCTTTTTCTTTGAAATCATTTACCATTTAAATGGGAAAATCTACATTCTATTGGAGGAGAAGTGTAATTCATAATCGTTTTGAATTTAAATTTCGAGTTTATTATAAATTCGGTTCTCTTGCAAATGTTCAAGTGACTATGATTTCTTTGAAAAGCCTCATAATTTTTCGTATTTAATCGAAGATAGATACGATATATCGTCCTATTAAATTCATGAGCGAATATATCTAGAATGGGAAATTATTTGGTGATTTTTTAACAGTAAACTATCGCTAAATAAACGGCAAAATTAACATGGCTTATCCGTTCTGAAACACTTTAAACATAACAGCCATTTTAAGTTGTTTGAAGAGCCGATTCTAAAAAAATTGCAAGTAATAGATTATATGAATAATTATACACAGTATACAAGTATACGTGTTGAAACGTGGATAGAAGACACGTTTCGCTATATTCCTATTTAAACAGGGACTCGCCACAGAATGAATACTATCGTATCCTGCTTTGAAACATATTTCATTAGTTAAATTTAATTGTAATCTTTCAAACGCAATTTGATATTGCCGATAAGCTTTTGGTGAAAATTTCACAAAAGCCTGACCATAGACGCTACTATCCGATTCCTTGATAATTTCTAAAGAATACGTAAAATTCTCAATTATATTGTAGAGAAATGAATATTTATATTGTAATAAATGTATTATTATGGTTAAAAGCAAGTTTCTTTCGCGTATATTCATAAATTTCATCGTCAACAATTTTACAACGAACGACGGAAGATGATAATGTCCAGTTGGATAAAGATAAATGAAAAAGAGACGAACAAAACGAACAAAACGTGTCTTTTATTTAATTGCAGTTTGAAGGAAGAAAGAAGGATTAGATTTCTAATTGAAACGTTCTAATTACAGAAATTACATCAATTTCTCAATTAAATTCATCTTTTTAATAGACAATGAAGAGATTGAAGAGATTAATTATTTTGTAGAATTTTCTGAACAGTTTTTATTGACGTTATTGAAAAGTAAACATTTTTCAATGTTTAAGTAGAATTTATATTTTTTATTTACCTGTTTTCTTAATACATTTCTTGTAAATATGCCTAATGAAAGAATGTCGTCCTTATCGTTTGTACCATTTAAAGGTGTGAATTTCCTCCAAATCAGAAAGCAACCTTTTCTGGAATTCTGTTCAATAATAACAACAACAACACAATTTCTTATAAACAAATGTTATTCTTATTGGCAAACCGAAATAGAAATGTTCTTTTCCATTATTTCATCGTCAAAGGCAAACGAGTATTTGTGAGCAAAACATAACGCTATACATATATGCCTAATGTATCTTGTGTGGTTGGAAGAATGAAAAAATCGTTTAGAAATTGAAGATAATTCCCTATATTGAAACTTATCCGAAAAGATTATTTGATGAGAGAAAGACTTTTCCATGAATGTCAAAGCTGTGTAAAGAAGAAAAATGATCAATTCTATAGAAAGAGGAATAAAGCTCATTTCCCTGTTCACCCTCCCCCTGCCCCTCCTCCCCCATTAATAAGAAAAGGCAATTACTGTTCGTGTAAAAGTCTTCTTCCACCTTCTTTAGAACTTCTTCCCTAATTTATCATCATCAAATGAAATAGGCAAATCGTGAAAATTGCATCTTTTCGTACACACTTACATTCGTCGAGTATTCTTTTGCTTTTTCAATTGTAAAAACTGCTTTACTCTCACTTTTGAGAATGAAATTGAATAGAAGAACGTAAGACACCAACTAAACGTAATAATTAACCAGCTATGGTCAATTAACAACTTGAATTTTACAATCTTTAATAACAATTCTATATAAAATCTATATTAAAATCTATTCCGGTATTGAAATCATAAAAGACAAACCTATTAAACTTATTGAAATCCATAAAATACAATTTATAATTGAAATTAACGAATAGAATATTTGAAATTTTATTGAATAGTCTTTTCCAGTTTTTCTTCTATAGAACGAATTGATTGCGGTAATTGATAATGAAAATGAAGTGATTGCTGTTGAGATGAGTATAAAAAGTAAATTTGATACGATTAGTTCATTCTTTCCAGTTTCCAAGTTAAAATTCAAACAAATATTTGAATTCGAATGATAATCCTAATCCGTAGTTTTAATCAATGTTTAAGGCTTTTTTGTTTAAATATTGAAGAAAATAATTATTCACCTGGAAAAAACTACTGGAAACTATTGCGGTAGATGCAAATGAGACGGATGTAAACAATAGAAAATTGAAATATTTCCTAACGAATAAAGAAGAGAAACAATAGAAATAATGATTTTGATAAAATTCAATATTTGTAAGCAGGAAAACTGAATTCAATGTCCACAAAGAGATTTTCATAATCAATTCAAGGGTTAAACACTGTTTACTCGTCTTCCATACAATTTTATTTATTAAAAAATCCTCTCCGTAATTGCTGTCGACAAACGCAATTGTTAAAAAATGCACTGAAATGTAAAAACTAGATAAAATAGTTAAAAGATTCGAAAGTCTCCTTCTCTTAATCTCCGCCCATAGTAGTAGTAGAATAAGGAAGGCTACTAATTGAGATATTATTCCAGTTATACCGCAAATGAAACAAAACATTCTCATTGTTTCATTCTTAATTAGTCTTGAACAGGTATCTCTTACGGAATAGATGGATTTACAGACAATACTGTTGAGTTTTTCAACTAGGCAACAAACATTCTCTTCGTTACTGTATATAACTTTTAAATGTTTTAAATTTGCAATCTCTTCAACTAGTTCTAAAAGTGCAAAGTTTGTCCCGATTATATTGAATTCTTGGAGAGTTTCCGGCAAATTGAACACTCTTTGCTGTTCATTTTCCCTATGATATTCAACGATTCTCATCACTTTTAAATAGAGGAAATTCTTTGAGAAAAAATCCTTCTCTATTCCAATGATCCTATTATAGGAGATGTCAATATACGTTAGATGTTTGGAATGGATTATTAGCAAATCTTTGAGCAGTTGAAATGAATTATGAGAGATATCTAAATGGTAAAGAAGAGGTAATGATTTGCTTTGTAGAAACTGCAAATTTTCCAATTGATTGTATCTCAAATCAAGATATATTAAATTCGGAGTTGATATTGATAATTTCCATAAAATTCCATTGTTTCTTATTAAAAGAACAGTAAGAAAGTTTAAATGATCTTTTGTTATAATTTCTGCATTGCCAATCGATTCGAATTTCTTTCTAGTCTTGTCAATTACAATTCGAGGCGGTGAAGCTATTGTTTGTAAATTACAAACTGTTGCAAACGGATAAGGTTGTTGGCAATTGATTGAATTTATTGTTGATTCTGTACAAAATAGTTCGTCGCTTCCCCTTAAACAATCAACAATTCCGTCACATATTTT